GGCCGCTCACACTGAGCCTGGTTCTGCTGGAGGTTTCTTCCTTTAAAAGGGAGTTTTTCCTCTCCACTGTCGCTACAAGCATGCTTAGTGTGAGGGATTGTATTTGAGTCAATGAGTCGATGCAATCAACTGGTTTTTCTTAGATAGAAAACTTTGAATCAATTTGACTGGATGATCTGGTTGAACTGTAAAGTGCCTTGAGATGACATGTGATGTGAATCTGGCGCTATAGAAATAAACTGAATTGAAATTGAACTGAAATGTCTTTTTCTTTTCCATTTTAATTAAGTAAAAGGATGAGCAGTCTTGAAGAAGAAAATTAAAATGCAAACATTTATTACTAACTGCATTTATGAGTCAAACAATGCAGCCACATTCTTAAAAAGAAAAAGCATTTCTGAAAATGCCTTTTTATTTGAAATATGGTAACAATTTGCTTCCATATAGATTATCCCAAGTCTTTGTTCATGCCCAGCAATTATTGGTTGGAGGCTGTCTGTTTGGACGTGTACAAACTAAAGTTAAAAGTTTTATTCACTGGACATTCAGGATTTAACTAAATCAAACAGAGGCTGGATGTGAAAAATGCTGGGCCTAAGATGGAATGCAAAAGGGACAGAAAAGAAGGCTGTGCTTGCTGCATAGTCCTATAGATACATTCTTCTTCCTCTCAGATGTAAACCCAGCAGCATGGCGGGGGTGCAATGAGTGAAATGGAGTTCTTTCTGTCAAACTGACAGACCGTAGTAGCCACGTTTGCTCAGCCATGTCTTTGTCCAAATACGTCTTCGCCTTTTCTTTTTAGGGCTTTCAGCACAAAATTGCCCAAATTACCAAGGCAGCACGTTTCATTCTAGTGAGCTTCATATTCCTCTTCTACTGGTTTGGCCTCCGTATAGACGAGTGCGAATAGCGCCTTCTCACTGCAGAGCTGAGCCCCACCTGGTTTTTAGACGTACAGTGTGAGCAGGTAGATTGCATCAAAGGGTCGGGTCATACGGTCTGAGAACAAAAATTGTGAGCTATGAACTTTTAAACCCTGTGGTTTTGTCGTAAAGTTTGAGCTGCAGCTACATGCAACGATTGAAAATATCATACAGTGTACCGGCTTTAAAGATGACAGTCAAATCAAGGCAACCCAGAGCTGAATCCTCATTGGCAGACCACACAGGGTTTGTTTCTGTCCTGGGCTTTAAAGCCAGCTTAAAACACCTCCTGATTATCAGATTGTAAAGATTGCAGGTTAGTAGAGAGAAGCCAGTCGGTGTGTAACACAGCGCTCAGAGAGGCAAGCCTGGGTTTCTACTGGCCAACAGGTAATTCAGCCGTTTTGACCATAATGTTGATGTCAAAAGGAGAGAAAATGTACAGAACCTTCAAGTAGACAATCTGAGGAGTATGTTATTGTGATGAAGCCTCCACTGACAGGTGATGCTTCTGCTGACTGCCCCTTGTTGATCTACCTGAACCACTCCCCTCTGAAGACACATCCCTCCGGCAGAGCTTTTAAAAGACAGACTTCAACTTCCTGTTGCCAGCAGCACGCAGCTGCTAAAGGCTTAAGTGCAATGCACTTCCCAGCTGAAGGCTATGCTAAGTAGCAACCAAATCCCTCCAGAGAAGTCTGTGGTTACTGGAACAAGCCAGACTACCTGTCCTGCGATTCAGAAAGACCTGATCGCAGTATTTCCTCCTTCCTGCAATTACAACCGAGTTGAGTGCAGTTTTTCCTGAACCTGCATTCTGCAACAGACAGAAGAGAGTTAATCCAGCTCTGCTAACCTGAATCTAACCCCGAACAGCGGGCCCTGATTGCTGTTCTCTTTGTTTCAGCTGGACCCGTCAGAACGGGTCTAACCGAGTCATTATTTATTTCCACCAATAAACCAAATGAAACTGCACTGTTTTGGCTCCAGTTAACATCTCTGCATCAGGGTTTATTCACATTCACCTGCTGCTATTTAAAGGACACATTCAGTGCATTAAACCTTAAAGCTCTAACATTCCTCAGAGACTTTAAACAGACTTTTAAACCCCTCTTTCCCTTTCATTTGTTTATTTGGTATTTTCAGTAGTGTTTAATGTCTGCTCAGTTATTAGAGATAATAATACTGTGTAAATATTAGCTAATAAAAGTATTACTGTATTTTTAACCCGTGGTCTTTTGTGTTTATTTTACGTAGTGAACGATTTATAATGCTCCATTCACTCTTCCTTTAGTAGCATCTGAACAAAAAGACACATTTCTTTGGTTTGTGATAACAACTCTGCTGAAAGCCTTATTCTAAATTATTAAATTGGTGAAAGAAAACATCATTTTTAACAGCCGGAGTCTGAAGACATGCCTGTAATTTATGTAATGGGACATCAAAGAGGTTTCTAGAAATTCCTTCTTTCATCTGAGGAATATTGCAAAAATGAGAAATCTCCAGTTCAGGGGTGATGCTGAGAAACTAGTCCAAGCATTTGTTACTTCAAGGCTGGACTATTGTAATTCTTTACTATCAGGAAGTCCACAAACTGTAGTTAAAAGCCTTCAGCTGATCCAAAATGCTGCAGCCAGAGTTCTGATGAAAATGAAAAAGAGAGATCATATCTCTCCTATCCTGGCTTCTCTTCATTGGCTTCCTGTTAAATCCAGAATAGAATTTAAAATCCTCCTTCTCACATACACTCACCGGCCACTTTATTAGGTACCCCATGCTAGTAACGGGTTGGACCCCCTTTTGCCTTCAGAACTGCCTCAATTCTTTGTGGCATAGATTCAACAAGGTGCTGGAAGCATTCCTCAGGGAGTTTGGTCCATATCGACAGGATGACATCACACAGCTGCCGCAGATTTGTCGGCTGCACATCCATGATGCAAATCTCCCGTTCCACCACATCCCAAAGATGCTCTATTGGATTGAGATCTGGTGACTGTGGAGGCCATTTCAGTACAGTGAACTCATTGTCATGTGCAAGAAACCAGTCTGAGATGATTCCAGCTTTATGACATGGCGCATTATCCTGCTGAAAGTAGCCATCAGAAGTTGGGTACATTGTGGTCATAAAGGGATGGACATGGTCAGCAACAATACTCAGGTAGGCTGTGGCGTTGCAACAATGCTCAATTGGTACCAAGGGTCCCAAAGAGTGCCAAGAAAATATTCCCCACACCATGACACCACCACCACCAGCCTGAACCGTTGATACAAGGCAGGATGGATCCATGCTTTCATGTTGTAGACGCCAAATTCTGACCCTACCATCCGAATGTTGTAGCAGAAATCGAGACTCATCAGACCAGGCAACGTTTTTCCAATATTCTATTGTCCAATTTCGATGAGCTTGTGCAAATTGTAGCCTCAGTTTCCTGTTCTTAGCTGAAAGGAGTGGCACCCGGTGTGGTCTTCTGCTGCTGTAGCCCATCTGCCTCAAAGTTCCACGTACTGTGCGTTCAGAGATGCTCTTCTGCCCACCTTGGTTGTAACGGGTGGTTATTTGAGTCACTGTTGCCCTTCTATCAGCTCGAACCAGTCTGGCCATTCTCCTCTGACCTCTGGCATCAACAAGGCATTTCCACCCACAGAACTGCAGCTCACTGGATGATTTTCTTTTTCGGACCATTCTCTGTAAACCCTAGAGATGGTTGTGCGTGAACATCCCAATAGCTCAGCAGTTTCTGAAATACTCAGACCAGCCCTTCTGGCACCAACAATCATGCCACGTTCAAAGTCACTCAAATCACCTTTCTTCCCCATACTGATGCTCGCTTTGAACTGCAGGAGATTGTCTTGACCATGTCTACATGCCTAAATGCACTGAGTTGCTGCCATGTGATTGGCTGCTTAGAAATTAAGTGTTAATGAGCAGTTGGACAGGTGTACCTAATAAAGTGGCCGGTGAGTGTATAAAGCCTTAAATGGCCAAGCTCCATCTGATATCAGAGATCTGATTGTTCCTTATGTTCCTAACAGAGCACTTCGCTCTCAATCTGCAGGTTTACTAGTGGTTCCTAGAATTTCTAAAAATAGAATGGGAGGCAGATCTTTTAGTTATCAGGCTCCTCCCCTGTGGAACCAACTACCAGTTTTAGTCCATGAGGCAGACACCCTGTCTACTTTAAGGCTAGGCTTAAAACTTTCCTTTTTGATAAAGCTTATAGTTAGAGGGGCTCAGGTTATCCTGAGCTATCTCTATAGGTATGCCTCTATAGGCTGTGACTTCATCTTGGAGAGAAATATCAGCTGTGCTGCTGCCATCAACACCCGTGTTTATAGATGCTGGAGATAGGCCTATTTTTCAGTGTAGTCCTGTTTCTGTGACTAACTGGATGTGCTCTCTTCATCCTCTGACATGGGAGCTGGCTCGGAGCTCGTCTGCCTGGCTGTGTGTTTCCTGGATGGGGCCGCCTTTTACAGCTGCTTTTTGTATCTATGCTTCTTTTTCTATGTCTGCTTCTGTCTCCTTGAACCCCAGTCGGCCTCAGCAGATGGCCGCTCACACTGAGCCTGGTTCTGCTGGAGGTTTCTTCCTGTTCAAAGGACGTTTTTCCTCTCCACTGTCGCTACAAGCATGCTTAATGTGAGGGATTGCTGAAGAGTCAATGAGTTGATGCAATCAACTGGTTTTCCTTAGATAGAAAACTTTGAATCAATCTGACTGGATGATCTGGTTGAACTGTAAAGTGCCTTGAGATGACATGTGTTGTGAATTTGGCGCTATTGAAATAAACTGAATTGAAATTGAATTGAAAAGCCTGGTCAGTAAGTAAATCACAGTCATAATCATTCAACTGATAATTAATTAGTTTTGCTTTTTTAATTGAATGACTGTTAAGACCACCCAGGCCACAACATATTTGAGGACACGAGACAAACATGAGGTTCAAAAGAATTATTTTATTGTTAATCTCTGGAACTTCTTTTTAGATCAGGTGTTTTGTTTTTCTGCAAAGAGACAAAAAAACAGAGAGTCGGATTTGTTCCCCAGTTTCCCGTGTCCAAAAAAAAAACTCTAAGAAAGAAAAAAGTAAAAAAGTATGAACAGAAAGTTGGACCTGGTGAGCCAATCCAGAGAGAGAGAGACTAACAGGTGGAAACCCAGCCTACTTATAGCTGGACCAATATCCCATAAATTAACGTAATCGATTTACAAAAGAAAAAAGAATTATCAAGACCCTTAAAAAAAAGTGATTCAACTAAGGTCTATGCAACACTAGAAGGAAAAATAAATAAATAATTAATGTGCCCGACACACATAATAATGACCTATTAATTAACTACAACTTACAGTTCTAGTTATTTAATATATTTATATCTAATAACACCTGCACCAGAACAAGATGTGAAAGGAATCTTTTAACACCAGCAGCTTTTTTTAATCAGAAGTTTTCTTTATTCATCAACAGGTCTTGTGAGGATTGTGTTGATCTGCTGGGTGATTCTTTGTCCCCTCAGGCCTGTCAGGAACATCTGAGGTTTGGGGACGCTGCTCCCACTGTCCCTCTTGCTTTGGCAGGCTGCGTCCTTGGGCAGCCAGGTCTGACTAGCATTGTCCCGTCTCATGTGGCTCATATCCGTCTGCACTGAGTGAGTTGCTGTCCTCCGAAGATTAGCCTGAGATATAAAGAGCACAAAACAGCTTTGTTAGAACAAAAGAAGATGAATTGGTGCAGGGGTGGAGCTAGATGGGGGGTCCAGGGGTGGCCATGACCACCCTTAGCCAATCACTGTCCACTTTGACCACCCTCAGCCAATCATTGGCCACCCCTGTGCCCCCCCTACCATATTGCCTTCGAATACAGATGGTGGCAGTAGTAATACGCTAACGTTGAATATTCTAACTTATTTAACATTTCCATTTTTCTTATGTTAACAGTTACATGACAACAAACACTGTGATTAATTATGGAGATCAATATAATAACATTAAAGAGGATAAATACAGAATTCATGCTCTTTTCAGAACTAGATTTTGTGTTTTATGGGGTAAAGGGAAAATTATGCATCTCTGCAAGTCATCTAAGAGCCTCCATTGAAATCAGACACAAATAACTACTTTAATAATAGTAATCAATTTAATGTAGATATTAGTACATGTAAATATAATTTTATGCAGAACCACTATTGATAAAAGCAGGTAATTAATGACAATGAATTAGATTTTGCCCAAGAACTCAAACCTGAAAGAATTTTGTCCACTAGGCCACCCTTATTGATATTTTCTGGCTCCGCCTCTGATTTATGCTAACAGCTTGAGACATGATGCAGCACAGAAAATCAGTTTGGATGTAAATCCACAGCTTTAATACAGTCCCACTTATAGAGACTGATGGTCCCAGCCTGGTGCTGTTCCAAAGCCACACACAATAACATTGTGTCGGTCTGACCCGCCCCACCAGTTTAATGGCTTTTCGTCTCAGCTCCCACTCATTCCACTCATATGACTTGTCAATGTAGGAATCCACTGGGTGGGTGTCAGTTTGAATGCCGGCGTCCTGCTTGGTGATGGGAATGGTGGATAAAACCTCCTCTGGGTCTGTCTGCAAAAGCATAGAGGAAGATTTACGGCTAGCGGGTAAAAAAAGTATCAGATCACGCACAGCAGAACTTAAAGCAACAGAGAAACTGAACAGAAGGATGGAGGAATGTTACTGAGAGAAAAAGACCAACCTCAGGCTGTGGATGTGTGCAGAGAGGCTGCTGATGGAGTCTGAGAAGCTGGAAGAGTTCTGGGAAACTTTTGGATTTTTCTACCACCTCTGAAATGAAGGCCTCAGGAGACGAGGCGAACATCAAAGCCGCCTCTTTAGAGCTAAACGCGTAGAACCTCTCTTTGTGCTTTAGAATTCCAATACATGGGTTACCTGTAAAAAAGCAGATGGCCACTCACACTGAGCCTGGTTCTGCTGGAGGTTTCTTCCTGTTCAAAGGGAGTTTTTCCTCTCCACTGTCGCTACAAGCATGCTTAGTGTGAGGGATTGTATTTAAGTCAATGAGTCGATGCAATCAGCTGGTTTTCCTTAGATAGAAAACTTTGAATCAATCTGACTGGATGATCTGGTGAACTGTAAAGTGCTTTGAGATGACATGCTGTGAATTGGTGCTATAGAAATAAACTGAATAGAATTCAATTGAATTGAGACTTCACTTTATAAAAAAGGTAGAATATCTTCTATTGCGTCACATTTATTTCAAAACGCCCGCAAGCAAAATAAGCATACTTTGACTGATGTTTACCACTTGCCCCATGAACCACGGAGAAGCCTCCACCACTGTCCCGAACTACAGCCGTCGTCTTTCCTTATGGATGACGAGCTGTCAGTCAAAGGTTTCATGATACTACTTCCAGAGTTATCGTGTCTGCAAGGTCCAATCAGGAGGAGGCTTACAGAGGAGGTTTTTCTCCACCCACCCTGTCAAAACACATTCTCCTTTGCGCTGGGAGAAAATCAGTCCGAGGGCAGAGACACTTTCGAGAACACAAACATCCTTGAGCGTGGCCACTGGATAGAAAATCATGGTTGTGGTGAGATCCTAAGCTCGATCTCGAGCGCCTGGGAGGACATGGCACACAAAGAGGGATATTTTCTCCTCTCGAAGCGGCAGTTTCTCGCGCATGTATGATTTTGTTGTGCGATGGTAGATAGAATATGCACAGAAATGGTTTAACATACATCCAAGTGTGTTTATTTTGCTGGTGGGCGTTTGGGCGTTTTGAAATGAATGTGACGCCATAATCTTACCCTTTATTCTTTCATGTGATATATTAATATAATCTAAACTCTATCATGTTTTAAAGGGATAAATATCTCAGGTGTTTCAGGGGAGCCACTACCTGGGAGTAGGAGACCATCTCTCTTCACAAGCATGTAAGCACAGAATCCATTATACTGGAGCGGCAGCCCAGTGAAGCTGTCAGCTGTGTGAGGGAGGAGCCATTCCTGTGACTTCAGTAGGTCCGGATCAATCTGTTCATCTGGAGGGGAAATCAAACAACAGAATCCTGAACCATCAAATCATCTCAGTCCAGGTTCCTTTTCATAGCCTGTAGAGGACGCTTGATGAGTAAGCTTCATCAGGAACCTGCAGAGCTGTGTGTGTGGGTGACATCAGCCATACCCGAGGATGCTGCTATCCTCTGGTTATCTGTCTTCACTTCTGCTGCTTCCAGCAGGCTCTCCAGACATGCTTCTGAAAACATCTTAGCCTGAGAGACCAGGAAGGGCTTCAGACTGACTGCGATCTTATTCAGATTGTTCAGCAGTTGGGCCTCATCCTGAAGCTCCAACCACAGTTTTGATACAGATTTGAACAAAGGCTGAAAGAAAATAAAGTTGAAAATGAAATAGAAAAATTAACTTTAGAAACAGTTTCAACAGTAGAATGGAAGGTATATAATTTATAATAAGAGAAAGGAAAGATCCCTTATGGCCCATTCCATAGGGATGTTTGTCCTCTGCCTTTAAGCCTTTAGAGCACTGATCCAGTATCATTTGGTACTGGGCTGCACAAAAAGAATAAATAACTTCTATTTTATCTATTTTCCGAGTCCAAATGGTGTTTCATTTTGATTGTTACGTCTATCTTTACGTGATGTGATACCTTTCGCTGTAACTCCATCATCTCGTTGCAGCTAGAGCTGCACTGCTATTGTTAGTAGTTAGCAGGCTGTCTCCATGCACTTTGTATTAGTGGTCTTATTTTTAAGGCATGTTTAACATTTCCATAGAAACCAGAGAAAACTACAGCTACAGACCGGCCTTAAAAATATCTCACATAAAACCGGTCCATTGTGCAAAAAAGGTCAGGGGCCACTGACTGAAAGAGAAGCGTAGTACAGGCCTAAATCCAAAGCATTATCGCGATACGATGTTAAATTGATTTGCTTGGATTAAGATACGATGATATCCAGAATCACAAAGTTCAACTCAAGTCACAAGTCTGTGATCCATATATTATCAGCCCATCCAACACAATTATTTATATTCATAGCAACTCAAGAGAAAACTTCTCAAGTATAATTTGACAAGTTTATTTCCGAGCTCTAAAAGACATTTAAAGCAGAAAGATGTATTATAAAAATAACAATAATAATTACAATAATTAACCTGTTATGCGGTGCCAAAATAAAGCCGTATATCAAAGGTGAAGATGCGGATCAGAGTTTCATTTTGTATGAATGTTTTTGGGTTGATAATCATATAATTTATTACAGAGTACAGTGCACTAAACACAGAGAGAAGAGGCTGGCAGAGACATGAACTATACAGCCTGGTCAGCCAGAACTTACAAAAACAGTTGAACATGGCAGCGGCTCATTGTCCTGCACAAGTTCTTTCAGCTGCTTTAACAAAGAAGAAAGCTTTGCCTGATGACTCTCCATATTACTGACACATATGGCCGCATCAGCCTGGCAATAAAAAGAAAACACATTCTTATTTAGAAACAATACATTTTACTGTAGAACAATTAACAGTTTTTAGGTCATGTAGTCAGTATTTATTTCTAGTATAACTAATGGAAATTTCTTCTGTTAAGCAGCATAACAGGCTTAATTTAGAAGGCAATTGTTCAGTTGAAGACGTTTCTGTTGGCTTGTGACAGAACAATCTGTGGTTTGAGGGCTGCTGTAATTAAGGAGCATGGAGGTCTATCCCCCTAAGCATTTTACAAGTTAGATGCAAATCATATAGCCATCCCTCATTTCTCTGGATTGTTGGAATATTTTTTTGTGCATGGGCTATGCCTTTCAATAGGTATGCCATCCAATAGGCTGTGCCTTTATTGGAAGGCATAGCCATTTGGAAGGCACATCCAATATGAAGGCACAGCGCATTGGAAGGGACAGCCCATCGAAAGGGACAGCCCATCAGAAGGGACAGCCCATTGGAAGGGGAAGCCCATCGGAAGGGACAGCGCATCGGAAGGGGAAGCCCATTGGAAGGGACAGCGCATCGGAAGGGGAAGCCCATCGGAAGGGACAGCCCATCGGAAGGGACAGCCCATCGGAAGGAACAGCGCATCGGAAGGGACAGCCCATCGGAAGGAACAGCCCATCGGAAGGGACAGCCCATCGGAAGGAACAGCCCATCGGAAGGGACAGCCCATCGGAAGGAACAGCCCATCGGAAGGGACAGCCCATCGGAAGGAACAGCGCATCGGAAGGGACAGCCCATCGGAAGGGACAGCGCATCGGAAGGGACAGCCCATCGGAAGAACCAGCGCATCGGAAGGGACAGCCCATCGGAAGGAACAGCGCATCGGAAGGGACAGCCCATCGGAAGGGACAGCCCATCGGAAGGGGAAGCCCATCGGAAGGGACAGCGCATCGGAAGGGGAAGCCCATCGGAAGGGACAGCGCATCGGAAGGGACAGCCCATCGGAAGGGACAGCGCATAGGAAGGGACAGCCCATCGGAAGGGACAGCGCATAGGAAGGGACAGCCCATCGGAAGGGACAGCCCATTGGAAGGGGAAGCCCATCGGAAGGGACAGCCCATTGGAAGGGGAAGCCCATTGGAAGGGACAGCGCATCGGAAGGGGAAGCCCATCGGAAGGGACAGCGCATCGGAAGGGGAAGCCCATCGGAAGGGACAGCGCATCGGAAGGGACAGCGCATCGGAAGGGGAAGCCCATTGGAAGGGACAGCCCATCGGAAGGGACAGCGCATCGGAAGGGACAGTCCATCGGAAGGGGAAGCCCATCAGAAGGGACAGCGCATTGGAAGGGACAGCCCATCGAAAGCGACAACCCATCGGAAGGGACAACGTATCGGAAGGGACAGCCCATCGGAAGGGACAGCGCATCGGAAGGGGAAGCCCATTGGAAGGGACAGCGCATTGGAAGGGGAAGCCCATCGGAAGGGACAGCGCATCGGAAGGGGAAGCCCATCGGAAGGGACAGCGCATCGGAAGGGGCAGCGCATCGGAAGGGACAGCCCATCGGAAGGGACAGCGCATCGGAAGGGACAGCGCATTGGAAGGGGAAGCCCATCGGAAGGGACAGCGCATCGGAAGGGACAGCGCATCGGAAGGGACAGCGCATCGGAAGGGGCAGCGCATCGGAAGGGACAGCCCATCGGAAGGGGAAGCCCATCAGAAGGGACAGCGCATTGGAAGGGACAGCCCATCGAAAGCGACAACCCATCGGAAGGGACAACGTATCGGAAGGGACAGCCCATCGGAAGGGGAAGCCCATCAGAAGGGACAGCGCATTGGAAGGGACAGCCCATCGAAAGCGACAACCCATCGGAAGGGACAACGTATCGGAAGGGACAGCCCATCGGAAGGGACAGCCCATCGGAAGGGGAAGCCCATCGGAAGGGACAGCGCATTGGAAGGGACAGCCCATCGAAAGGGACAACCCATCGGAAGGGGCAACGTATCGAAAGGGACAGCCCATCGGAAGGGACAGCTCATCGGAAGGTAAAATGGAATTGAACAATTCAGATTAGCTAGCCGAATATACAGGTAGAGCGTAGCCGACTGGTGTAATGTACATTGGTTAAATAAATTTCTTTTGAAAAAAAATCCTGTCCGGCGTGCGGGTAACGTCATACATGCACTGCTTTGTTTTTAAAAGATATAAATATAAAAAATATAACCTTGGATGTCTGGGGTACAGTGATTGGCCTACATGTTCTGAATGCTGGCGTACCATAAAGAATAAATTATGAACAGTTTAGTTTGTGCCTTCAAGTCGTTGCCCATAGGAAGACGTTACCGTGATCTTCAGAACGGCTCCAAATGACACAAAACTCATATGGGTGAGTAGAACATGATGTAATAACATAAAATCAAGGGCTCAATGTAAAAAAAAAAAAAAAATTCCCCTTTAAGGATATCAAATGTACTTTGGCCTCTATGCCATTGACTAGTCCTGGATGGGCAGAATGGTGACATTTGTTGAGAAGGCAAATCTATCCTCATTCAGCTTAACGGGATAAAACTGAACTTTTTCCTATCCTGTCATTACAAACTCCCTCTAGTTTCTAGGTGGGCTTTCTCTATCGTATAGTTTTGTTTTTTTCACAAATGAGACTATCATTTGTCATTAACATCGTAGTTTTCGTTTTTAAATGTGAGGAAAAACATGTTCAAAAGTTATTGACCGCCTTGTCTCACCAGTAAGATCTTGAGGAAAACTTCATGCTGCCTGACATTGTAGAGAGCCTGTTTGAGTTGGGTGACATCAAGCACCCCCGGGTGGGTGTCAGGATTTGTTAACTTCTCCAGCAGAGCTGTGTACCTCCATACCAAACTCTGTGTGGTGCTCAGTTCATTTCTGATGCTTTCATCACGGATTTGAAGTCCTTCTTTAAGAACTGCTGGCACTGCAAAGACAGTTAAACCTTGAAATAAGATAAAACTACAATAGAAAACAGTTTAACTGCTCTCAGAGGTTCATCTGTGTACCATGACTCTTCTAATCTCAACTATTATGTTGTCAGAAGTAAATGGATCCCATTTATGTAATTCTATTTTCAAAAAATAAATTGGATATCACCATCAGATACGTGGATTATGTTACCCTGCAGTTGGCAAGAAATGTTCTGATCAAACAAAATAGCTAAGCTGGCAATCATGCAGAGATCCTTGCCATCCTGTCTTCGAGATGTTTAACCTTCCACTGCATTAGGAACAAGCATGCTTTGGGACAGTGTCTGTATTTCTCAAGACTGCTGAGTATTCATTAATGGGTATTATTAATGGATAAGGTCAAGAGAAGTCAGATATCTAATTTCTATTCAATTAAATTTATTTCTATAACGCCAATTCACAACACATGTCATCTCAAGGCACTTTACAGTTCACCAGATCATCATCAAGTTTTCTATCTAAGGAAAACCAGTGGATTGCATCGAATCATTGACTCTTCAGCAATCCCTCACACTAAGCATGCTTGTAGCGACAGTGGAGAGGAAAAACTCCCTTTTAACAGGAAGAATCCTCCAGCAGAACCAGGCTCAGTGTGAGCGGCCATCTGCTGAGGCCCACTGGGGTTCAAGGAGACAGAAGCAGACATAGAAAAAGAAGCATAGATACAAAAAGCAGCTGTAAAAGGCAGCCCCGTCCAGGAAACAGCCATGCAGACGAGCTCCGAGCCAGCTCCCATGTTAGAGGATGAAGAGAGCACATCCAGTTAGTCACATTTAGATGGTTAAACATAAATACGGCTCTCCGCATCATGGTCTACCATGGTGGTTGTTTTTCTTGCCACTTCTGCATAGTAAGACGCAGAATAGTGACCTTTGTCAGGAATTCATGTCAATCAGGTTGAATGCAACCTGGACGTAGCATTTAAAAAGATTGAATCTGTGTTGTTCAGACTGTCATGAAAAGATCAGATAAAGGTGGCAGATGGACTTCGGGTGACTTCAGGCTGCAGTGTGAACATAGCAAAAGTGTGGTGAACCTGCCTAACCAATGTAAATGTGCTTATGTGCACTCTGTCCTGCACCAGTTCAGTTTTGTAATCCAATAAGAACCTGATGGGATTTAAAGGGGAGCGTTTACACATACTTAATGTCTGGATGCCTAAAACCTCCTCGTCTTGCTTGCTGGCTTCAATGAAGAGTCGGATTCCCGTTACAATCATAGTGAGTTCTCTCAATTCCTGCTCCTTGTCTTTCTTCACCAGCACCAGGAAAGCTCCCAGCTCAGCCAGGGGTAAGACACTCTCCAGGGCAGCTGAAAGACAACAACAATCAGGCATCTATCATCACTGTTATCATCAGATTCCCTCAGAATAACAGCTTAACTAAAAGGTCTTTACCAAAGGTTTTTACTTTTGCTTGTGGATTTTACTGAAGGAAGCGATTGCTGTTAATCAGCGTCAGCTTTCTCAGGTTTGATTTTGGAAATAAAATATGTTGGCATTAGAGAAAGAAACTGAATAATAATTGAGCTTTATTGATCTCATATTGGAGAAATTCACTATGCATTTAACCCTTCCCTTTGGCGAGCAGTGGGCTGCTATTGAGGGGTAAAGGGTCTTGCTCAGGGACCCAGAGTGCAGGCTGTGGGGATCGGTGTTAGCTCGGTGTTAGCTATGTGTTAGCTCGGTGTTAACTAGGTGTTAGCTAAATGTTGGCTATGTGTTAGCTCTGTGTTAGCTATGTGTTAGCTCGGTGTTAACTAGGTGTTAGCTGGGTGTTGGCTATGTGTTAGCTCGATGTTAGCTATGCGTTAGCTCGGTGTTAACTAGGTGTTAGCTGGGTGTTAGCTATGTGTTAGCTCGATGTTATCTATGTGTTTGCACGATGTTAGCTATGTATTAGCTGGGTATTAGCTATGTGTTAGCTAGGTGTTAGCTATGTGTTAGCTGGGTGTTAGCTATGTGTTAGCTGGGTGTTAGCTCGGTGTTAGTTATGTATTAGCTGGGTGTTAGCTATGTGTTAGCTCGGTGTTAGCTATGTGTTAGCTCGGTGTTAGCTATGTGTTAGCTGTGTGTTAGCTATGTGTTAGCTGGGTGTTAGCTATGTGTTAGCTGGGTGTTAGCTATGTGTTAGCTGGGTGTTAGCTATGTATTAGCTGGGTGTTAGCTATGTGTTAGCTGGGTGTTAGCTCTGTGTTAGCTGGGTATTAGCTATGTGTTAGCTCGGTGTTTGCTGGGTGTTAGCTGGGTGTTAGCTATGTGTTAGCTCAGCAGTAGCTCACACTATGTACTGTAGAAACTACCAAACTGTTATCAAATAAAATCTATTCTACAGACTAACAGTAGAGTCTTGCTTTTTACAAACATGAGCAAGATGGTAGCATAAGGTCAAGCTGTTGCTGCATGTTAAGGGTGACATACTGACCGTTTGTTTCCAGAACACTGCCTAAATCTGTGGGCGAGCCTGTTCCAGATCGCAGCAGGATGTATGTGATGATTTGATGATACAAAGCGTGGAAATCTTCCCTGGATTTTGCTCTGATGTCTGTAATTCCTCTACTCAATCCACTTAGCTTGGAGTCCAGCAGCCGATGGATCTCAGCCAGAAATTCACCTGCAAGACAAGCAATCCTATTCAGGAGGAACTAAAAACATCAACACAGAGCTTCAACAGCCGATGAGCTTGAACATGTTTAATAAACGACTTACATTTACAAAAAGAAAGTCTGTCTTTTCTCTCTGATGTGTGCTAAACTACAAGTATAGATAAGAATATAAATGATAAAGATCCATCCATCCATTTTCCGTCACGCTTGTCCCAATTGGGGTCACGAGGGGTGCTGGTGTCTATCTCCAGCTGTCTATGGGTGAGAGGCGGGGTCCACCTTGGACAGGTTTCCAGTCCATCGCAGGGCAACACAGAGACAAACAGGACAAACAACTATTCACACACACTCACGCCTAAGGAGAATTTAGAGAAGCCAATTAACCTAACAGTCATGTTTTTGGACTGTGGGAGGAAGCTGGAGTACCCTGAGAGAACCCACGCATGCTCAGGGAGAACATACAAACTCCATGCAGGAAGACCCCAGGCACGGAATCAAACCCAGTACCTTCTTGCTCCCATGATAAAGATTGTTAGGATAATTATCACTGATGATGTGTGAGTTTATTACACCTTAACATCAGCTGCCTGTTGCTTGTTAGAACTGATGTTTTCAACAGTAGTTTATCTAATTAGGACAGTTCCTCATCCAGATATATACAGTAATAATCTTCATTCTTTCCGTGGCAAAGATGTGGGAATGGAATGAGAGCGGTGACCTTCAGCTAAGAACAAAGTGTAATATTGTGATAAGGCTGCAGCCATGGAAATCTGCATCTTTGTGTGATGCAGATTATTTGCAAACTTGTACACTGCAAAAAATCTAAATCTAGATTAAGTCATTTTTTTCTTAAAATAAGTGTATTTGTTCTTGAATTGAGGAGGTAAAAGAGACATTCTGCCAATGAAACAAGACAATTTACACTTAAAATAAGAAAACACAATTGCATTGTATTATTTCAAGTACATATTATCTTATTTTAAGAGTAAAATTACTCATTCCATTGGCAAACTTTCTCATTTACCTACTCAAATCAAGCGTGAATACACTTAATTTAAGAAATTTTTCACTTATTTCTAGATCGTTTTTGCAGTGTATGATGTAAAATGTGATGATGCGGCAGACTGAAGTTGTATAAAATGATTTTCTAACTGTGATTCACGTCCACTTCCTGAGATGTGAGCCCGGTTGGTAAGCAGCTGCCTTCTGTAACTCTAAGCAACTTCTCTGATCTGAGTAAGATTATAATTTCTATCAGAATCTGTTGTCATGTCTCCTGTTTATTTAATACATAAACATTATGAATTGTTATTTAAAGAGTTTGTCCTGAGTGATCTCTTCAGGAAAAAAACCTGGAGAGAGAAACCTTCAAGGTGTAGAGACACAGGCTAACTCAAGATCCATCAGGTAAACATTTAAGAAATAAGTCATGTTGATTACTCACATCTAGAGGTGTAGTTCATGTCAAAATAAAGTTGCATTTTGATTGTATCCAGACTTGGGCTGCAGTCCTCTGTAAGCTTATCCAGGCCGAGCTGAATGACAAAATATGGACAGAGAGAAAAGAAATGCTGAGAGATCATCATCAGACATGGCTGCTTTTAAATGATCAATGATCAAAGGGTTTCCAGACCACAAGATCCACTGTGCTCTGAAGTCCTCTGCTCTGCTTTAGACAGCTTTTTAAGTTAGTGAAGCTGTGATTTTTGTGTTATTTTTGTTTTTATGAGGGTCTAAGTATTTCTATAGTGGGCTAGGCCACTGCAAACTAAAACTGTAGTTTCTCAAGATTTTGTAGCTTATTCTGTGTTTTATATACAATAAATAAGGAAAATAGATTGCATTGAGATTTTAAGGAAATATCCAGATGTTTAATTTCTTTAATTAATAAATGACTTTTTATGACTTTAACAACACTTAATTTACACAATTCAGACAATAGAATCAATTATTGATGTAAAACAAGTGTTGGTTAAAAATCATTAAATGAGGAGCTTGTTAAATTGTAGTTGTCATCATCTGACACAGCACATAAAATGTTAAAACCCCACAGCTGAATAAAATCCTCCATGCTGTGTGTCTCTGTGGAAGTGAAACTCCAGCCTTATTCTGCCTTTAAACTTCCACAGAGCCAAGGCATCAAGGTGCTCTCCCTGCTGCAGTCTGTCTCTGCAGGACATTAAACGGCCATCTTTGCTTCACTGATTAAAACATTTTAATGTCGGGCCTTTGGCTTGTTTCTTCCATTCTGGCAAACAGCTCACATAAAAAGAGCGTTTGTAAAAAACATCCCAAAAAAGACTAAAAACACTAAATAAAGGCTAGAAATTGTCTTTAGTCTTGTGCATTCCATAAAAAGGTGAAACACATTTTCAGACAGACCGCAGAAATGACACTTGTTTAAAACAACCCGATTAATAACCGATATTAACCAGTTTGTGGTGATGGCAGCGTGTAAAATCCTCCATTGGAGATCAGTTGGTTTTTTAATTGGCTTATATAAAGTCCCCCATTAAGAGGCTTTTCTCTCTAGTTTTTCTCTCCAGATCCAATTAATAAATTAATAAATGAAAAGAAGAAAAAAGTTAATTTCAATTTGAACTATCAAAAAAAACAAACAGGCAACAGTTTTATATGTGAGAGCATAGTTAGGAATTAGAATCAAAAAGGAAAATTGTTCTGTTTGTTTAGTTAACCACAGATGGAGATGATGATAAATATCTTACCTGTTTGAGTCTCTGGATGTCATGTTGGGTCAGCCTCCTGTCCACATTGAAACAGTTTGTCGGATTCAACACCACAGATTTCACCTAAGCAGAAAAATAAGGAATAGAATCTGAAGTCCAGCTCATTTCTTCTATGAGAGAAACGTTTGGTTCCATTTTATTCTTTAGACTCTGATTACTCACCATGAAAGCCACCAGAGTTTCACTGAACGAATGTCCTCTTTTCAAACACTCCTCCAGTATCTCAGAAATGATGCTTTTAACCTCATTTTCTGCTTCAAACCGAGACATGTTTACTGTGTTTGGACCCGGCTGCTATGGTAACGGTGTGACATCATGCTGGCCACTAGAGGGGGCTATAGTTCTGTTACATTTAACGCTTTATATGGCACTCAGTGAAATAGTTTGAATAGTTTTATTGGAATCCAGGAAAAGACCTTATTACCTGTGTAATATTTAAAAAATATGGATATTTTGATGGCAGATATTAATGTCAGTGTAATAATAAGAAACACCAACTTGGCCGAATATTTTAAGAAACATAACAAAAGTGCTTCTAGAAGAAATTCATGAAAAACACACAGAGTGAAAGAAACACATTGTTTTTGGTCCAACATAACTTTAGAGGCATTAATGCTGATACTGGTACTTACAGTTTTTAGCTTATAAACCTAAATATAATTGTTAACTAAGCTTATTAACCGTTTAACTTTCAATGAGATTTTTACCTTTTTTTCTTGACTTGTTTACTTTTTTATTCTAACTTAATTTCCAGTAGGTAATATATTATTCAAGGGCTCATCAAATGCCAAAATAAGATGTACAGCGATGTATCTTTGCTGAATGACTGGATATAGATCTTGTGTAGACCTCACTGGGGGACGGGGGAGGGGGGGGGGGGGGGACTCCATTTGTTAGGGGGATGCAAGAGATCAAACACAGTAACTTGCTCTATAAAGGGTGGTTTTACAAATCACTCCAAAATGTCACTGCGCAAAAGTTACGGTTCTTTCCAAAGAACAAAAAACATGACCAGTAAAAATGTAGTCACCATGTGAATCCATACCTTTGATTTTTATTTAATCTACCATCCATCTGATAGTGAGTTTGGTGATTTTCTATTCTAATTATTTAACAGCTTAACACTTGTTATTAACAGACACACAATAAAAAAGCTGAGGCCTCTCTTCCTTTGTAGAACATTATAATCATTAAGAGCATTTTAAAACATATTTGGATAGAAACAGAGGCATAGACAGAACATTTTTATCAGGGTGTCCAGGCAATAACCAATGTAGACTGAGGGGTGGCCCAAAGCAGATAGAAACCAGAACCTTAGGGTTAATCTACACTATTGCAAAAGGAAAATTAATGAGCAAAAACATCCACATTTTCTAAATAAAGACAAGCTTTACTTTCCTACAGTCTTTGCTAACTAATAGATGCATGTATTTAAACATCTGTAATTTCTAGATAAAAGGTATGGTGGATAAAACTCAGTTTTGAGTTCCTGGGTGTTGTTAGGTTTATTCTTTATAAATCATGTGCATTCTTACTCTCTTAGCCAGAGTAGAAGGCCTTCCTTCACATGGTGGATGTCACTGTGTGTTCGGAGGTCATCTAATCAGGACAGCCTTTGTGTCTTTAAAAATTCACAGGATATGGGCACATCTTGGAGCCGGACTGATAAAGGAGAGCTATGCGTAATCCTGGGGTAAAGAGGCAAAATGCATGAAGGTCAGGGCATGGATGGCGTTTCAGTTTCTGAAACGGACAGCTGAGCATCCACCTGATGCAAAACATGGATTCATGAGGTATAAGAAGGAGAAGATGACCTTGTTCGAGGCTCAATCTTTGCCGGATGCTTGCTGATGTTCTTTGAGCCCACAGCTGTGCAAGATCCAAGCAATTTCTCTGTCCTGTAACGACCTGACCTGGAATAAATGCTTTTACTTTTTACTCCTGTTTTATAGTAGTTTTTTTAATGGTTTTACCCAGTTTGAGTTAAGAGTAGTAAATAACTTGCTCCCAGGAAAAGAACCGGAAGGGAAGCTCCGAGGCGCAGCCGCCTTCAGGGGGACCTACCTTCCTTATTTAACAGTGTAGATCTTTTCCATTTTCATTACTCACCTACTTGTGTCTAACTTGATATTTACAAGCACTAAAATCTACATAAATTATTTCATGTTTTTATTAAAATTATTTATCTATGATTTTACTGAAGACTCCTATGACTTGCAGAGACATCGTTTTCTCTTTACCCCATATAACACAAAATGTAGTTCTGAAAAGATCATGAATTCTGTATATATATCAGATTTGATAATAGTTTCATGATGTGTATAAATAACCACAAAAAAATGTAAATGTTTTGAATATTACACTTCACAGTATTAGTGCTCCCACCATCTGTATTGGGGGGGGGGGGGGGGGGGGGGGGGGGTAGGGATAGCCACAGGGGTGGCCCCCCATCTAGCTCCGCCCCTGGGTAGAAAGTGTGGTCTGTACCACTGGCTGGACTGAGGAGCATCAATTAGTTGAATTACTAATATTTAGGCTATTTGTGTTTTAACGTCAGATTCCAGTCATTTTAATTCAACACCAAACAATGATCACTATTCTTTAGATATCAAATTCAAACATTAAGGAATTCTTTTTTTATCTGTTCTCAAACAGCCAAATTAAATTTTAAGTCAATAATGACACATCTCAAAGACATTTTTGAGCTGGTGTAATTATGTAGGATTCATTGTATGGTTTGAGGGTCCAAAGCAGCAACTTAGTTTACTTATTAATGGGAATAAACATGTCAGCTTAGACTTGATGAGTAAAAAAGAACAAAACCAAAATAAAAAAAAACAGAAAACTGTGGTTCAACAAAGAAGTTCCATGTTTATTTTTTTATTTTTATTCTTTTTTACTTGTGAATCCCACTCATTTAGAACAAAAGAATTTAGTCGTCTTCTCAGCATCCCCCCTGTACAGGATATTTCAATTTTTTTTTTGCAATATTCTGCAGATGAAAGGATATTCTAGAAACCTCTTTGATATGGGATTTAAATGACAGGTCCTGATCAAAAATAACACCAAGATTTTTTACTTTATTATCTGAAATCAGTTTAATGCCATCCAGATGAAGTGACTGGCTAATCAGCTTCTTTTTCAGAGACTCTGGTCCAAAGACTATAACTTCTGTTTTGTCTGCATTCAGAAGGAGAAAGTTAAGAGTCATCCAGGTTTTTATTTCTTCAAGACATGCCTGTAATCCATGTAATGGGTTAGCTTCATCTGGATTATAGACAGATATACAGGTGCTGGTCATAAAATTAGAATATCATGAAAAAATAGATTGATTTCAGTAATTCCATTTAAAAAGTGAAACTTGTATATTATATTCATACATTACATACAAACTCATATATTTCAGATGTTTATTTTGTTTAATTTTGATGATTACAAATGACAACAAATGAAAATCTCAAATTCATCATATCAGAAAATTAGAATATTACTGAAGACCAATAAAATCAAAGGATTTATAGAAATGTTGGCCAACTGAAAAGTATGAACATGAAAAGTATGAGCATGTACAGCACTCAGTATTTAGTTGGGCCTCCTTTGGCCTGTATTACTGCAGCAATGCGGCGTGGCATGGAGTCGATCAGTCTGTGGCACTGCTCAGGTGTTATGATAGCCCAGGTTGCTCTAATAGTGGCTTTTAGCTCTTCTGAATTGTTGGGTCTGGTGTATTGCATCTTCTTCTTCACAATACCCCATAGATTTTCTATGGGGTTAAGGTCAGGAGAGTTTGCTGGCCAATTAAGAACAGGGATACCATGGTCCTTCAACCAGGTACTGGTAGCTTTGGCACTGTGTGCAGGTGCCAAGTCCTGTTGGAAAATGAAATCTGCATCTCCAAAAAGTTGGTCAGCTGCAGGAAGCATGAAGTGCTCTAAAACTTCCTGGTATGTGGCTGCGTTGACCCTGGACCTCAGAAAACACAATGGACCAACACCAGCAGATGACATGGCACCCCAAACCATCACTGACTGTGGAAACTTTACACTGGACTTCAAGCAACGTGGATGAAGTGCCTCTCTTCTTTTCCTCCAGACTCTGGGACCTTGATTTCCAAAGGAAATGCAAAATTTACTTTCATCAGAGAACATGACTTTGGACCACTCACCAGCAGTCCAGTCCTGTTTCTCTTTAGCCCAGGCAAGACGCTTCTGACGCTGTCTGTGGTTCAAGAGTGGCTTGACACAAGGAATGCGACAGCAGAAACCCATGTCTTTCATACGTCTGTGTGTGGTGGTTCTTGAAGCACTCACTCCAGCTGCAGTCCACTCTTTGTGAATCTCCCCCACATTTTTGAATGGGTTTTGTTTCACAATCCTCTCCAGGGTGCGGTTATCTCTCTTGCTTGTACACTTTTTTCGACCACATCTTTTCCTTCCCTTCGCCTCTCTATTAATGTGCTTGGACACTGAGCTCTGTGAACAGCCAGCCTCTTTAGCGATGACCTTTTGTGTCTTGCCCTCCTTGTGCAAGGTGTCGATGGTCGTCTTTTGGACAACTGTCAAGTCAGCAGTCTTCCCCATGATTGTGTAGCCTATAGAACTAGACTGAAAGACCATTTAAAGGCTTTTGCAGGTGGTTTGAGTTAATTAGCTGATTAGAGTGTGGCACCAGGGGCCATCAATTTTGAACCTTTTCACAATATTCTAATTTTCTGATATGATGAATTTGAGATTTTCATTTGTTGTCATTTGTAATCATCAAAATTAAACAAAATAAACATCTGAAATATATGAGTTTGTATGTAATGTATGAATATAATATACAAGTTTCACTTTTTAAATGGAATTACTGAAATCAATCTATTTTTTCATGATATTCTAATTTTATGACCAGCACCTGTAGCTGGGTATCATCAGCATAACAGTGGAAATTAATCCCATGCTGTCTAATAATTCTACCAATTGGGAGCATGTATAAAGTAAAGAGAATTGGTCCTAGCACTGCTCCCTGTGGTACTCCACAGGTAACCTTTGAGCATGAGGAAGATCTGTTATTAACATAAACAAACTGAATTCGATCAGATTTAAACCAGTCTAGTACTGTACCTTTAATTCCAACAAAATATTCAAGTTTCTCTAAAAGAATATTATGGTCAACTGTATCAAATGCAGCACTAAGATCCAACAGGACGAGCATAGATACAAGTCCATTATCTGAGGCCATGAGAATATCAGTGACTTTCACCAGAGCTGTTTCAGTGCTATGATGAGCTCTAAAGCCAGACTGAAACTCTTCAAAAAGTTCATTATGGTGGAAGTGATCGCAAACTTGTTTGGCAACTACTTTCTCAAGAATTTTAGATAAGAAAGGAAGATTGGATATAGGTCTATAATTAACCAAGTCATCTGGGTCAAGAGACGGTTTCTTAAGCAGAGGTTTAATTACAGCAACCTTAAAAGCTTTAGGTACATATCCCTGTAACAGAGATAGATTAATCACATCTAAAATGGAGGAGGAGATCAAAGGGAATACCTCCTTAAATAACCTGGTTGGAACTGGATCTAACATACAAGTTGAAGGCTTAGATGAAGACAATAATTTTGCCAACTCTGAAAGTTCAACTGGATCAAATCATTCTAAACCTGGTTCAGAGATCCCTCACCTTCCAGAGATAAACCAATCTTAGAGTGCTAGTAATCTTATTTTTAAAGAATCCCATAAAATCAATCCTGCTAAGAGCAGGTGAAAGGAAGGTTTAACAGAGCTATGGCTCTGGGTGAGTTTGGCAACTGTAATATCTCGGATTCTTATTCTCTATTACTGAGGAGAAGTATGCTCCTCTTGCTTTATAAAGGGTCCTCTTATAAAGCAGTAAACTATTTTTCCAGACTAGGTAGGATTCCTGTAGGCCTGTGGAGCGTTCTATAAGGTTGGATCCGTTGACATCAAATGCCTTCATACAATTTAGAAGCCACAATTGTTAGACCTGGACTTGGAAATTCTGGTTCCAGTAGCTTATAGGGTACAAATAGTTAAAGCAGATGCCATTAAAGATAACATAAAAAAATTAAAGAGCAAATAAAGGGTAGTTCTTTTAGAGCAGATATCCTAAGGACATGTCTGTACTGTAAAAGAAACAGTTTATCATTGAAGTATTAGCAGGGATTTTCTTCCATCATCTCCTCAATTTATGCTTTCACCCCATTTTCATATCATTTATTGGCATTTTTCCAATTCTTTTAAATTTCACCGAAAACTTTTGTCAAAGGCTAAATATTTCTTATTTAGATACCCCCCCCGTCCCCGTCACATTTTCCTGAAAATCTAAATGTTTAGCCCAGCTCAAACATTTAACATTTTATGTAATAACACAGATAAACTTGTTTTCATAATATGAAAGTTATGCTTGTTGCTTTAAAAAGTGACAAGAACAGGACAAATATGGAAGCATCAATCAGAAGTATCAATAAAGTATTTATTAAAAAAAAAAAGACAGACATGACAGGGGTGATAAAAGCTCAGCTTGGTTCAGGTTGATGCAGGACTTCTGAGATGGTATGTGCAGCCATGAAACAGTCAACAAGTTTCCCATTTTCCTCTAAAACAGCTCACCCCCCCCTGCAGAAAGGGACTCTGGAGACAAAAGCCAAACTGGAGACAATTCACAAAACGGTAAGCACTTAAACATGCAGCAACTCATGCAACAAAATAAAACACAAACATTTATGGACGTATAAAGAAATGCAACCCTCCATTACAAAGAAAAACTTTAGCATCAAAATAATTTAACTCAAAAGACACACTCTTTGGCTTCGGATGATAAAATGACTGCACTCAGACATCTGAACCAGTAAAAACCAGCAGTAACCGTCTGTTTCTCCAGTTAACAACTGGCCTCCCAGTAGGATCTACCATCTTCATGATGAGCATCAGGAAAGCTGCCAGAAACCGTCACACATTTCAACACATTTTACAGGGAAGCTGTAAAACATCCAGAGGTACAGCTCCCCCACCAAAGTCGGCCATTTTCACCCCGTCTTACACACAAAATAATTCATTCAGCTTAAAAGATAGTTTTAATATACAAACTGTGCTGGGACTGCCTCCCAGTTACCAGACAGACAAAAGACCAGCTTCAGTTCCTCTTCCTCACCCATTTAACTCATATTCTGAACATTTAAGACAGACAACATTCAAAAACCATTCAACTCCCCCTGATGGCCCGAGGCCAACGGACACAGAAACGCTTGGAGGCTCAGAGCAGTTCATCATTTTCCATCAGCACTAAAACGTATTCAGGAAGGGCTGCTTAGAAACACTTCCTGAAGACGATCTGCGGTCCGTGCTCGTCGTACTCGGCCTGGCTGATCCAAGCAGAGCTGAAAGTGGACAGATTGGCCAGAACCGCCCCTCCGCTCCACACCAGGAAGTCTCTGTCTTTGGGGCTGGTGACGTGAACGGCCGCCCTCATGTCCTGTGGCAGCAGGTTCTTCACCTCGGCCTGGAGCCTCTCAGGCAGGCCTGGCAGCAGAGTGTTCCCACCTGCAGTCACATTTATCCCATTAAATGGTGGAGAGAGACTGCAGAGGATACAGGGTTCATTTTGCTGTGACAATGGATACCTGAAAGAACGATGTTTGCCAGGAAGGAGCGGCGCAGGTCGATGTCTGACCTGAGGACGGACTTGAAGACGCTCTCATGCATTCCATAATGATCCCGTCCAATCAGCTCCGGTTTAAACAGGATCTCAGGAGCCCTGCGAGGAAACCAGATCAATCACCAGATTGTTCTTTAGGGAAATCTTTACGCCCTAAAGAGGGGCCGGACAGGTTCAAGTCAGGCAGCCCACCGGGCCTCCGTCAGCGAGGCCGCCGGGGGCTGGGCCTCCGTCAGAGGGGCCGCGGGGCCTGGGTCAGCGAGGCCACCTAACTGTTTCCTTTAAATATTTTAACATTTTAGTAGCATATTCACTCAGTTTAGGTCTGGTTGCCATGGAGTTATAAGGCAATTATGGAGGCTCTCTCTGTATTTTTTTTTTTTATATCAAACCCTGTGAATGTAAATCTACTTTGGCCCCTGAGCAGCAGTGCTCATGGGATAAATGATCAGAAATAAAGCAGAAATGACCAAAGTAGGAAGAAGAATGTTTTGTTCTTTGCTTCTTTGGGGTAATGAAGACTCCAGACCTCCTGCACAAAGCAAAGCCTACAGACCCGTCTTGCTCCTTTTCTGACTCCTCAGAGCTTGAGGAGAGCATGCATGGTATTAATATTATTGTTATATTCATAGGAGCAAAACATGCAGAGATGAAAGCTTAATTTAATATGACATATTAAAAAAAAAAACATCAGCATCCAGCATATTTGCAGTTTCTGCCCAAATATTTTCTTTTTGTTGTGATTTCTCTAACAGGGATAACTAGGATCATATTAATTGGTTTTTATGAACCATGTTTGTTCTCCTCTTCCAAACTCAGCATCTCTTCATCCAGGCCTGAGATCAGAAATCTTTTGATGGTGATGAAGTACCGATTGTTTGCATCCAATCATCAATTAAACGGTCCCAGAGCATAATTCTTCTATATTCCCAATTAATAATTGTAGTTACCCATCTGTCGTTATATTTTTATTTGACAAACCAGATCTTTGATGTTCCTTTTCCTGTTTGTTGTGATTGCAGTTGTGGATCTTGACCTGTCTGGAGCAAAGCTAAAAATAGCTTGCCTCCGTATTTTGACGGCAAAGACGTAGATGGACGGTGACTCCGCATGACATACGTGAGCGGGGCTGAGCGCTGACAGAGGATGTGGAATCTGGGCTCTGAACGGATCCAAACAGAGCTGAGTTTTAACAATGGGCTTCATGCAAGAAGCTTTTGTACAAATAGATTTGTTCTTAAATCTTTTTACGAGTGATTTAGGAGAAAAGGACACTTCATATTTTTCTAGTATCAGATTTGATTAGATTTACCTTTTTAATCCTAGATTTTTTGTGTTTTCTTAGTGAGACCCGCCGAGTTTCTGCGGACATTCTGACTCAGAGGTGTTGATGATGAGGGGATCGTTACCTGAACCTTTCTGTGCCGAGGGTGATGATCTGGCCATCTGGTAAGGTGTAAAGCATTTCTCTGCAGGATGACCTCTCTGGGTTCATGTCGGCTTCATAGTCTAATGCAACACAGCAGCATCTCTCCTTCATCTCCCTTACAATCTCCTCCTCTGCAGTCGTTCGCATGGAGACGCCCTGTTCCTGCAGGAGCTTGAAGAAGAAGCCAGAACGAAGTAAAAAAAAAGAAAATGATAAATTCAAATGATAAATTTAAACAAGCGTCAACTAATGTTTATACTCAGTAAGTTTTTTAGTCAGTAGTTTACATCGCAATCTACTGATGGACCAAAAATCTCTTTTCTTTACCAGACATTTTACACAGTTCTAAGCACTTCTACCAAAGTACCAGAGGATTGTTTTTTTCCAAGACTCTACATGATGACTGAATATTAAATGGTTCTTTGAGCACACAGGGAGTTAAATAAGAGCAACATGAGCTCTCTGCATCCTCTAACATTCCAATGCTTTCAATCACAGAGGAGATCCTAAAGGAGCTGCAGTAATTCATTCTCTACCATCTTGTTTTAGGTTCCTGTCACACCGTCCTGATTTATCCAGCATCTGGCTGACGTCCAAGAATCTCCTAAAACGCTGCCATACGCTGAACTTACTACGAATTTTTTCTATTTTGGGCATATACATAGAGTATTCAATGAAAGAGGCACAAGCCAGTATCCTGAGGGGGGCAGCGATGCTCCCGGAGACGCCCGGCCAGAAGAAAAAGATTTCTATGATTGTGGTATTAACCTAGTTGCTGTTTGCTGACACCAAAAACTTTATTTTTCTTAATTTTTTTTGGCAGGCAGTAGATTCAGCGTCATGTCTGCTAGGAAGTGTGTTGGTGGTGGGCGTGAACGCAGGGAGGATCCATCACCCTCCCCTTCTGGCTCACCCTATGATGGAGATGAAGTCTGGAGGAGAACTGATGGTTTCCTCCTGTGAACCCCCTTTATACCAAAACACTGCCAATACGCCATTATACAGCAGCTGGAAGTTAGAAACACGTTCAAGATAGATATATATATATCTATATCTATATCTATTCTGGATAAGTTACGCAGAAGTTAATCAGAGGTTTAGGATAAGCTGGAGTTTTCAGCGTGTGCCAGCCTGCTTCCGCCAACTCATAAGTTATACAAAACGTATCCATAACTTATCAAACGCATGTCAGGCATATGCTGGTCTAAACCGTCACAGTGTTACAGGGGCTTTACCTGCAGTGGGATGTCAGGTTTACATGTTATCTATCCATCAGCTTTAAACCTAACAATCAAATTTCCTTCAACTGAAAAAGAAAAAATCTGATTATCTGAGGATGAAGACCAGGTGTTGCAAACCTTTTTCAGCTGTGCTGTAACATCGCAGCCAGCCAAAGGGAAGCGCTGGATAGCGTGAGGAAGACCGTAGCCCTCAAAGACAGGCACACTGTGACTCACTCCTTCTCCAGAGTCAAACACCACACCTAGAAAAGGTCAAGTTAGAGGTCACGCTGGAAGGCCGCACAGGCTGACAGCAGAGAGCGGGTAAATGACAGCCGTACCGGTGGTTCTCCCTGCTGCGTACAGGGCCAGCACAGCCTGCATGGCTACGTAGGCAAACGGAACACCAAAGCGCTCAAACATGATCTCCACCATGCGCTGCCGGTTCTCCAGCGGGTTCATGGCTGCCTCCGTCAGCAGAACAGGGTGGTCTTCAGGATCCACACACAGCTGCTGGAAGGTGTAGTGCCAGATCTGAAAGAACAGCAGAGGTCAGCTGCTGGGACTGGGCCCCAAATGACACCAGTGTCAATTCATACAATATTACACTTTCTATCATCAAACATTTAAACTGATCTTTATTTAGCAACAAGACAGAAGGCTGTACCCTGTGAAAAAGCATAACAGGCACAAAAATATCCCACCCACTGGATGGTCCCTATCCTATAGCTCTGCACAGCATTCACAGCAGCAGCACAGAACAATGAAGGTGCAGAAATGATGCCTTGCAGTATTCACTAACATCTCCGACCGTTTGCTACAGAGTCCACCTGCCTGAGAACTGCCACCGTCCTCCCAGTGAACAAGTCTTCAGCTAGTCTGAAAGACACCAGGTCAGTGAGGATGAGTCCAGGGGAGATTCAAGGCCTGCTTTCCTCCACAGTCGACTCCAGCAGCCTAAAGCCCCATTTCCACCACCCTATTAAGCCGTGCTGAGATCGGTCCGAGCAAGGTAACCAAGGTAACTGCTGAGAGTAAATGGCACTAACACCTGAACCACTCTAAACTGGTACTGGTTCATCAGTAGGGTTCAGCGTGGTTCAGTTCTGGCTCGGTTCTCTGATAGCAAAGAGCGCATGAGCAGACTGCATCATCTCCTTACAGTCAGCCTCCATAATCAGGAAACTTCAGACATTCATAACAATCCCAGCTCCTCTACAGTGTCACACGATTTCCAGTGATGATGCTGCTTAGCAATGTGATGAACCTCAACTTCTGTTGTTTCCTGCGTCTGTAAGCCCTGATTAGGCTATTGTTTTTTTCTAATCAGCACTTCCCAAAAACCTACACAAAAGGCTGCCTTCTTCTCTCGACTCTCCACAAACTTCCTGAATGTTACGGCCGCAGCTATGTAGGTTTGCTCGTTTCCCCTTCAGAGATCAGTAGTAGAGTAGATCGCCACTAGGAGGCTAAGAACCGTGCTAGCGTGGTGTGTAAACAATCTGAAGCAACTGAGCTCAGCACGGATCAGTTTTAGGAGGGCTTATGAGGAGGGATCAGCACAACAGGATTGGCCCCTCCAACATCATCCTCAGTACTGGTGTCCCACAGTTCTGGGCCCAGTCTTGTTCACCACACAGAGCACAATGGTACTGCTCTACTAACTAGGTCAACAGTCTCCATCAGTGCCATCAGTGTTCTCTGGCCTTCTGTCCATTTCAAACCAACTGATTAGTTTTCATTGTTTAGGTTCAGTTCCTGATCTCCTGTGAGCATCCAGCTTCTTAGACCAACCATAGTGCTGCTTGGAAAGACCTGGTCTGAGTTAAAATGCAGTAGCATGACCATTAACAGGCTCTTCAACTGGGAAATAAAAATCCTTCCAATGTGGTGGAAAGCAAAGTGGACTAAAGTCCTTTACAGTGATGTGAAAACTGGCTGCAGGCTTTCAGAGCAGCTGTTGCTGCCAAAGGAAGGACAGCTGATCAGTAGGTTCAGGCTCAATAGCATTTTATTTTGTACCTTCAAATAAAATCTTAATTGGAAGACCTTTTAGTAGCAGACAAAGAAAATTTTCCCAGCAGTGTTTCCATGGCACCTTACCTTTTCCATATCATCCCAGTTAGAAATGATCCCATTCCGTATGGGATGCCTCAGAGTCAGAACCCCCCGCATGTGTTGAGCATCATGGCCGATGTAGATCTCCCTCTCCAGGGTCCCATTCATTATTTCCTGGAAATAAAAAAAAAAAAATAAAAATACTAATAGCAAAGCCAGATTTCCTTTAAAGTCTGAGTAGATTTAGTCCATTGTCCAATTCTGCAATGTAACTCCTCCAGCAGGAGGCGCTCCTCCATCAGACAGAACATGCAGCGACAGTGGAGAGGAAAACCTCCAGCAGAACCAGGCTCAGTGTGAACGGCCATCTGCTGAGGCCGACTGGGGTTCAAGGAGACAGAAGCAAACATAGACTGCTCTTTTCCCTATCCATAACTGTTTTTATGTTCCTGTATTTTCATCTTTTTTATTTCTTTTGTATTTTTTTTTAAGTGACCTTGAGTGTCAAGTAAGGCCCTGTTAAATAAAATGTATTATTATTATTATTATTATAGAAAAAAGAACACAGAAGCACTGATCTATAAATAGTTTCTATATTAGAAAAGCTAATGGTAAACTAGCTCCACAGGCAGCAGAGTCTTTGAAACGGTTAAACAGACGAGCTCAATCCGGTTTTAACATCAAAGGATGAAAGGCAGAACATCCAGTTAGTCGCAGTAAAATCTGAGCCCATATGTAGGAGAGAAACAGGACTACACACTGAAAGACAGGCTGATCTCCAACATCTATAACCAAAGGTGTCAATGGCAGCAGCAGCGTAGCTGATATTTCTCTCCAGGATGGGAGAGGATTTAATGGATCGCAGATGTATATCAAAATCTGGACGGATTTTTACACCAGGAAGCACAGCATTATCATCAAATAAACAAGATGGTGACCCAAACCCCTATTACATAGTTTGGGCTAAAATGAGCTGAACAAGGACTTGTTAACATGGAAGTCTCAGACATCAAAAATTGGTCCAATATCAGCCAAACAAAGCAAAAAACAGCAGGACATATCAGCCTGTATCTAAAGTAGGGCTGAAACGATTCATTGTGAATAGAATCTGGAGAATAGAGACTGTAAAATGGCCTCTAACTGACAGAGCCACACAAAAATTAGGTGTCAAGTAACAAATACTTTGTTACTTTATTCCATTTCAAATGTTGGCCATCTATACTTTCTGGAATAATTATTTTTTAAACAACTTTTTAATTCTACTCCTTACATTTCAAAATGTTTTTATTTTATTTATTTTTTCCAGCTTTTATTGTCATTCCACTGTCAAGTACAGAGCATTGAAATTCATTCTTTGCATGTAACCCATCCCCTTGGGGAGCAGTGGGCTGCCATTGTGTGGCACCCAGAGAGCAGTGTGGGGTTAAGGGTCTTGCTCAGAGAGCCCGAGTGGCAGTCTGTGGGAGTGGAGCTCAAACTCAGAAACTCTGGATTCCAAGCTCTATGCCCCAACCACTAGACTGCCCTCCCCCTAAAACAAAATGGACTCAGTTTTTATTTTGAAATACCAACAGAAAAATTTAAATAATTAGTTTCATCCAGACAATTAATTTCTTTGTGGTTGGACTCAGTGCTGCCCCAACTTGTTGCTCACCACAAACCAAAATAAATTGTTTTTCAAGATGATGCAAAGTTAAATCTGAGACTGTCGCCATTAGTTCGAAAACTAAGAAAATGAATTCTAAGGAAGTTATCATCCAGAGTTGTAGAAAAACGTTCCTTTAATAGGATAGTGCAGCAGTTACCATTTTTTCCTGCATTACTTTGACTTTTATACTTCAAGTGGTTTTTAAAAATGGTACTTTTACTTGAGTAAATTGCTAAATTCGATACCAACTTCAACTAAAGTGTTTTAAACAGAAGGATTTATAATTCTACTGAGAAATAAACTTTAATACTTTTGACACCTCTGCACTTGGTAATAAAAATGTATAAAAATGTTGCATTCTTCTGTCAAAAGCCTCAATTGGAAACATTTTAATTCCTTTAAAAAAGGAAGCTTTGACTATGCCGTTATTAATCGATTAATTTAAAAAAATAATCAATTTGAAAAATAACTTAGTTGCAGCCCTAATCTAAAGTCTCTAATTTAGGCAAACTGAAAGGAACTCTTCACATTAAAGTTAATGTAATCCGTTGGTTAGTTATAAAATGAGTCTGACCTGTTGACTGATTTTCTTTGTTTTAAATGTGAAGCTTTGTTATTCAGATAGACGTCAAAGTGTGTGAAATTATTGCCAATTTGACATCAGATCGGCAACCATCAATACTCACAGCTGTTACTGGTGTAAAAACCATCCCTACTGGCTAGTGCAATGGAAAATACAGCATTTATTAAGACTAGATTTTAAATATAGAACACCTGAAAGGGAAAAAAAACAACAACTCCTAAATGTAACCAAAGAGAGAGAAAGCAGAGAGGTCTGACCTCATATTTTGGCACTCCAGTTATTGTTGGGAACTTGATGTTTGGCTGGTCTTGATCTGAAAATCCTGCCTTCATCAAACCAGATCCTACATCCAGGATGACGGGGATCTTGAAATCAGCGATCTACGGCATAAAAAGAAAAAAGAAATGCTGGATACCAGAAAATATCAGTTTTCTGTAAAGAGGTAATTTCAAACTAAGGTTCCAAAGAATGTTTAATGTCGGCAATATTCACAGCCACATCCAAAATGAGAGAAATGCTGATTTTATGTCCCTGCAGGACGTAAACCAACAGTGAAGGAAGCAACGATGCCCAATGAACCAGGAGCTGATTGGTCAACAAACTGGCCAGAATCTAAAGGAGAACCTGTGGGGTTCTGTAAGAAGACTGGACCCAACAAGGCCAATGGTCTGCGATCAAAGCAACCATCACCTCAGCAGCCCCCCCCCCATGAAGGCAGTCATTTAGAGAGTGCAGATATAACTGGACACACCTCCAGAAGGCAAACATTTCTCTCTAAATGTCAGCCTCCATGTCATGTTTGTAAAAAGACCGATATTCTGTAATCAAACCAAATCGTTTTTCCCCTTCCTAAGACTCCATTACTGACCAGAAACCATAAAAGCGTAAAGGTGAGTACCTCTGTAAAGCTCTCCGCCCATAGCTGGGTCCTCTGCTCCCCACGGTCCGAGATCCGAACCCCGTCAGAAACCAATTCTTCGGGTCCTCCAGGGTCGAACTCCAGGCGCTGACTGGGACCCGTTTGGAGCTCTGGTTGGAGGTCTGGCTTCATTTGCTGCTTATCTGTGAGGAGGGACCCAGTGGAGGAGTCCTCCTCACCGCCAGCCCTTCCAGAAAGGTTCCCGCAGACTGACAGGTTATTATTGTTATTATTAATGTGTTCCGTTATATTTGGGTTGCAAACGTTCTTCCCGTCATCCAAAGTCACCCCCTCCACTAAAACGCCAAGAGCCACAGGCTCCAGTTCCTCCTCAGGGGTTGGAGGAGGTCCGTCTACAGGAAGGGAGGCTGGTTCTGGCCCAGCGGGTCTCCCTCCTGGATCAAACCCCCCCTCCTGCAGCATCAGCTCAGAGGTTAACAGGCTTTCTGAGCCGACCACTGGAGGAACCACTGGAGATTCACTACTAGAAGCTTTAGTGTCACATAAGAGCAGATTCCTACCAGAGCCACCAACATGACGACCATGACACTGCAATGACTCCTCTTCATCATCATCATCCACCACAGGACCCAGTGACTCATTGCTCCCAGTCTCTGACAGCTCGGTGGGTTCTCCATCGTCTCCGCTCTCTGTCTCAGAGAACCTCCCAGACGCTCCGGTCTCGTTCCTCCACTCAGAGCTTTCCTCCAAACTCTTCTCAAGCTTCTCCACTTCTCTTTTTTCCCTCTCCAGCTCCAAGCGGAAACCTTCCCTCTCTGGGTTTGGGGCTGATGGCTTCTGTGAAGTGAACCACCTCAGATCCTGGAGGTTCAGGTTCTCCTCTCTGCTCGGCGGACCCAGGACAGGAACGTTCCTCGGCTCTTCCTGCAGCTCCAGCCCGCCTTCAGTGGTTTCTGCTTCAGTGCTGAAATCCTCTTCCTCGTATCTCGTAGACTCTGAGGATACACCCTCGCTGAGCGGGTCGGATCCTCCGAACATGGGGCCGTCCTCAGAGCTACCAGCATCAAAGGAGGGCTGTGGAAAATGCAGCATTAGTAAATGATTCAGGAAAAACTTTAACATATCAGCACCATGGTCAGTTCCCAGATTAAACTGAACCAGAGCTTTATTCAGGCTACAGACTTCCTATCATTGGATATTTGAGAGATTCATGTATTCTGATTTATCTCCTAAATACCTCCTCCAGCTGCTTCTCACTGTGCCAAAGATGCCAGAGATCTTTTTCATCTCCTGCTCTGAGCAGAGCATCCAGCACAGCTTCTTGAGCCAAAACGTTCTCCTCCTCCTGCAAAATGGGAGACATGCTACCATCATCCGGCTGCCTGGAGGAGAAGATGAACCCAGCAGCTGATCGTTTACCTCCAGGATCCCATCAGCCTTGGTTAATATTCTCTCCACCTCTCTGAGGTTTTCCTGCTCCTTCAGTTCCCAGTCCATCGAGGACATATCAGTCATACTGAGAAGAGAAAAATGTTGGTCCCAGAGACACTTAAACTGTTTTTTTAACTTGATGAGACTCTTTATCTCCATTGGATCTGGTTCCAAGTAGGCAGGGATCCAGTGATGTGCAGGAGATTTTCTGAGCATTCTTAGAAACACGGATCTATATATTTCAGCTTCTACTCCAAAGCTCTGGGAGAGAATGAAGCAAGTCAGCCGAAGCTCATTTCCTATAGGAAACAAAGTTCCCTGCTAACAGGAGCAGATATTTCTACGGAAGTGAATTGCATTCAAAGAAAAATAAAATAAAACTCTGACAGCTCATCGTAATTACGATATCAGTATCTTGTAATTATGTGAGACGATCTCATAATTACGAGATCTTATTTATACATTCGGTTATGATTACTTGAGTCAGTAATTTAGCATCTCTCAGAAAACTGTTCTTAAGGATCACTTCTTAAAAATATCTGCATCTGTTCCACTGATCAGTTCTCTGCACCCAGGTCTGCTCCCGTTTTTCACCTCATCAATAAAGCACCCAGCTATAACCCTGTGGTTAGCATGCAGCCATATGACCATATGCCAAAATCCATCAACAGCTCCATTAATACAGGATGGTTTTAGTTTGTCATGTGTATCGACATGCTGCGTGAGATTGGGAGCTGGTCGTTTTAAACGATGCTGAAGTCTCAGCTGTACTGCTTGAGGATCTAGGATTTTGAGACGGTACCGGTGGACAGTTGTTTGGGACGCCGCCAAGCCAGATGGAACGAATTCCAGATTTATTGATTTATAGCCATAAATCACCCCATGCTGGTTTAATTGCTCCTGCAGGAACCGTGTGACTTCCAGTGAGTCAGAGTAGAGTGTTCTTTTTCACCTGAACCATTCTAAGGACTTACTGCGCAGTGCTGACAAACTAAAACTAATTCCATCTACATTGAAGAAACTCAGCATTTCCCAGTGTCGCAAACCTAAAAAGGAAATAAAAGCATAATAATCCGACAGTGAACTCATTGAGGATTCATGTAGCGTAGCTCAGCAATGACCGTCCTTTCTGATCTCCTAAACATCACATCTCAAATTATGACATCGTATCTCATAATTTATAGAGATAATTATGAGATAAGTGGTCAGATTTCTTTGGTGAATGCAATATGATTCTGTAAATTTCTGTACCATGAATAATAAAAAAAATGATCATCCTTTTCCTCTTTTCCTGTCCACTAAAGCAGATAAATTCTCCCAAGACCAATTATTTTAAGGAATTTATAGGTCAGTTTGTTTGTAAAACTGAACACTTTAAACCTGAGAATATCAAAGCTTCACATTTATGAGCAATCTATTTAAAGAGGCCCAGTCACACACCCTATCTACGAGAAGACCAGACCTTCATGTACAAATGAGGCATTATATACGGTGGCTGAGAAGTGCAAAACACATTTACAATTCAAAAACACATTAACAAATAAAAAACAAAATAACATTTGAAGAAACAAAATTATATTTTATGAAACAATTTATTTTTGAAAAAGAAAGTTTAAATTTTTAAAAACACATTTACATTTAAGGAAACAAATTCACATTTTAAATAAGTTAGATTTTAGGTGAGAGAAAGTTTCATTTTAGAGAAAAAAAATACATTATAGGGAAACAAATTTACATCTAAAAAAAATTGACCGTTCGGAAACACTTGTACAAGTGCAAAGACAAAACTGCAAGTGGCAAAACACATTTACATAGCCAAAAACAAATTAACAAAAGACGGCTACACGGAAAGGGAATGTCCCAGTGGCCGGATGTGACGTCACGATTACCCTGACTTGTAGTACAAACAGCTCAATCTGTAGTCCTCCTGCTTCACGTGAAAAGTCAGCGGCGATTTTAGATGGAAAGAATTGCACTGAAGCTGTTTTTCTTAAGTTTACGCTAACCGAACAATGTTTTCAGCCAATTTACACCATTTTGTTCTTCGTGCGGACGGTCTCTGGAACTTTTACGAGACACGGACCAGGTGGCAGGACCAAGCAGCAGGGCCGGGCGTATTACTGGCCGGAGCCACTATTATTTTGTCATGTAGTTTTTTAATTACTTTTCTTTGGTATTTAATTATTTTTTGGGTATTTTTCCTGCCGTTTTTCGGCAAATGCCTTATTTATAGTACTTCTAACTAGATTGTTTTATATAGATATATATAGGCTATATATTGTGATGTTATCGCTTAATAACCTGTATTAAAATGTATTCTTTATGGGTTTCTTTTTATTTTGATGTTATTGCTTAATAAACTGCATTAAAACTTTTATAATGTCACATTTACTTGATGGAACGGAGTACTTTATCTGCGAATAAGTGGCCTCGGCCGGTATCGGCCTCTCCGATGGCAGTCTCTGCCGGCAGCGGCCACCATCGGCCTCTCCGATGGCAAGCTCTGCCGGCAGCGGCCAGCATCGGCCTCTCCGATGGCAAGCTCTGCCGGCAGCGGCCAGCATCGGCCTCTCCGATGGCAAGCTCTGCCGGCAGCGGCCAGCATCGGCCTCTCCGATGGCAAGCTCTGCCGGCAGCGGCCAGCATCGGCCTCTCCGATGGCAAGCTCTGCCGGCAGCGGCCAGCATCGGCCTCTCCGATGGCAAGCTCTGCCGGCAGCGGCCAGCATCGGCCTCTCCGATGGCAAGCTCTGCCGGCAGCGGCCAGCATCGGCCTCTCCGATGGCAAGCTCTGCCGGCAGCGGCCAGCATCGGCCTCTCCGATGGCAAGCTCTGCCGGCAGCGGCCACCATCGGCCTCTCCGATGGCAGTCTCTGCCGGCAGCGGCCACCATCGGCCTCTCCGATGGCAAGCTCTGCCGGCAGCGGCCAGCATCGGCCTCTCCGATGGCAAGCTCTGCCGGCAGCAGCCACCATCGGCCTCTCCGATGGCAAGCTCTGCCGGCAGCGGCCAGCATCGGCCTCTCCGATGGCAAGCTCTGCCGGCAGCGGCCACCATCGGCCTCTCCGATGGCAGTCTCTGCCGGCAGCGGCCACCATCGGCCTCTCCGATGGCAGTCTCTGCCGGCAGCGGCCACCATCGGCCTCTCCGATGGCAGTCTCTGCCGGCAGCGGCCACCATCGGCCTCTCCGATGGCAAGCTCTGCCGGCAGCGGCCAGCATCGGCCTCTCCGATGGCAGTCTCTGCCGGCAGCGGCCACCATCGGCCTCTCCGATGGCAGTCTCTGCCGGCAGCGGCCACCATCGGCCTCTCCGATGGCAAGCTCTGCCGGCAGCGGGCAACAACGGCCACTCCGATGGCAGGCTCTGCCGCAGCCACTGCCACGAATTGAGCTCGGCCCTCCTGCTTGGTCCTGCCACCTTGTACCGTGTCTCGTAAAAGTTCCAGAGACCGTCCCGCACGAAGAACAAAATGGTGTAAATTGGCTGAAAACATTGTTCGGTTAGCGTAAACTTAAGAAAAACAGCTTCAGTGCAATTCTTTCCATCTAAAATCGCCGCTGACTTTTCACGTGAAGCAGGAGGACTACAGATTGAGCTGTTTGTACTACAAGTCAGGGTAATCGTGACGTCACATCCGGCCACTGGGACATTCCCTTTCCGTGTAGCCGTCTTCTGTTAATTTGTTTTTGGCTATGTAAATGTGTTTTGCCACTTGCAGTTTTGTCTTTGCACTTGTACAAGTGTTTCCGAACGGTCAATTTTTTTTAGATGTAAATTTGTTTACCTATAATGAATTTTTTTTCTCTAAAATGAAACTTTCTCTCACCTAAAATCTAACTTATTTAAAATGTGAATTTGTTTCCTTAAATGTAAATGTGTTTTTAAAAATTTAAACTTTTTTTTTCAAAAATAAATTGTTTCATAAAATATAATTTTGTTTCTTCAAATGTTATTTTGGTTTTTATTTGTTAATGTGTTTTTGAATTGCAAATGTGTTTTTAAAAATTTAAACTTTTTTTTCAAAAATACATTTGTTTCATAAAATATAATTTAGTTTTTTCAAATGTTATTTTGTTTATTTGTTAATGTAAATTTGTTTGCTAAAATGTAAATGTGTTTTTAAAAATTGTAACTTTTTTTTCAAAAATAAATTGTTTCATAAAATATAATTTTGTTTCTTCAAATGTTATTTAGTTTTTTATTTGTTAATGTGTTTTTGAATTGTAAATGTGTTTTGCACTTCTCAGCCACCGTAATTATAAGCCAAGCATTCCTGCTGATAGGGTTTGCTTGGTTCTGTACAGTGTCGCCATCTGCTGGCAGCACCAAACCATCAATTTAATACTGTTTGATCTAATCATTGGGAGCTGCCTTTATAGAAAGCTACAGCTATAGCATGTGGCGGTAGTTTTAAAGTCACCACCTGTACACTGCAAAAAAATAAAATAAAATGATGCTAAGCAAATAAACTCTTTTTAAATAAGTGTATTTTTCCCTGGTTTGTGCAGGTTGTTCAATTCCATTCAGCTTATTTCTATAGCACCAATTCAGAATCACAGCATGTCATCTCATGACACCTAACAGTTCACCAGTCAGATTGATTCTGTCCACTTCTGTCTCCTTGAACCCCAGTCGGCCTCAGCAGATGGCCGCTCACACTGAGCCTGGTTCTGCTGGAGGTTTCTTCCTGTTAAAAACTGAATTTTTCCTCTCCACTGTCGCCTAAGCATGGTTAGTGTGATGGATTGCTGAAGAGTCAATGAGTCGATGCAATCAGCTGGTTTTCCTTAGATAGAAAAATTTGAATCAATGTGACTGGATGATCTGGTGAACTGGAAAGTGCCTTAAGATGACATGATGTGAATTGGAGCTATAGAAATAAACTGAATTCAATCTCAGAACTCTACCTGTCTGCTTCTGGCTTCTCCTCATGGAGGTCGTAGGAATCCCAGAGCAGAGTAGGAACGCCGTCTGTGGCGCAGGTGGACGTCTCTCTGCCATCAGTGATTGTGCTGGACAGAATGTTGTGGATGGGGCTCAGTTCAGGATCAGCCCATCCACTGTCGGCATGTAGCACCCAGTCTATGCTCGGTGGATCTCTGGGCTCTGTGCAGCTCAGCGCCTCCATCTTGGGGGGCGGTTTCTGCTCAGCAGCAGTCATTTTAAAGCTCTGCTTCTGAGGCGTGGGCTTTGGGGTGATGGTGACTGTGTAGGAGTTTTCCAACTCGTCCACCGGCAGGCTGAGCCAGGGATTGGTGGGAGGTGAAGCCGAGCGCTTCACCTTGATCTCCAGATTCAGGGATTCTGCTTCTACTTTAGGGATGATCTGGATGCTGGAGAGGTTTGCTGCAGGCCTCGAAGCAAACTCCCTGCTGTGATGCTTTTCATCTGAAATAACGGAGACGCTCTCCTTCAGAGAGCTGGGTTGCTCTGGGGAAGTTCTCATTTCAGCAGGGTTTAGGGATTTCTCCACCTCTTCCTTTCCTCCTGGAGCCTGTAGTTGGGTCCCCCCCAAACCATGAGGCCCAGAGAACAAAGAGCTGGCAGACTGTTTCCAGTCAGCAGCTGCAGGCGGGACCACCATGGTGGGAGGATTCCAGTTCTCAGGTATCGTTTGGTTCTGCTTGGAAAAGCTCAGGTTACCATCAGACACTGAGCCACTGCTGCTTTCAGGGCTCTGATTCCCATGGCTACAACGCAACGCCTCGTACTGCCACTGGAGGGCGAGCTGGAGCTGATCCACAGACACTGGCCCAGAGGATATCAGCAGCTTCCTCAGGATCATGCACCTGGAAAATAAGAGCACAGAGAGAAGGTGGTGACGGTCCACTAGAGCAGCCTAGAGCCGTCCGAGGATCGGTTCTGAACAGTGGTGGAATAAGGTAATAAGGTACATTTACTTGATTACTGTGCTTAAGTACTTTGAGTATCTGTATATTTTTCCCCCAAATCAACGTCCAGGAAGCTGCTAGTTCCTTCTTCTTTTTGGCTCAGCTTTATAATAATCCACCGTTTCTTTTTTGTTGAAATGTATTTCCATCAATGCAGATAGCAGCCCTTAGGACTGAATCTGTTCACCACTGATTTAGAGATTTAATGACAAATTAGAGAAACTCAGAGCAGATATTAGTTTATAAATTCTATTAAACTTTGAGTGCTGCCATGTGACCAAGTTGTTCAGTAGGATGAGTTCCCAGAGCAGAGCTGCAGTTTCTCTGCTGTAATAGATTCAACCTTTAACCTCTATTCAGGGAAAGTAGGAGGAGAATCAACTCTCCTGTTTTCACTTTGTTTTTGTTTTTTAATTAAGAAATATCAAATATCTGCCCTTATTTTTTGTGTCATTACTATACTGAAGGTGGTGTAGAATCTATAGCAGGTGGTTCTATGCATTCAATTCAATTATATATGCTGCAATTCACAAAACATGTCATGTCACGGCACAGAGACGATTTCAACCAGATCATCAATACATCAGATGGTTTCTGAAAGTTACAAGATTCTTTAAAATTACTCTGAAAATTACACAGAAATGTACTGATATTAGAATATCTAATTAGTATTTTTGAATACTTAAGTATTTTCAAAAGTGAGTACTTCAATACTTTAAGTAACTTTTACTTGTAGTTGATTAATATTTGACTACTGTGGCCACTACTGATTTATGAAGTCCCAGTAACCATGGTGGAGGGTTTGAACGCAATGTCAGCCAATACCTACCAAGATGGCTGCGTCTGCAGAAGAGCCTCAGCAGCATTGCTCTATGGGCATTCCAACAAGCTGCAGTTTCCTTTGACTGGCGTGACGGAGGAGTTTAAAGTCACCACAGCCAGGGAGGTGTTGCTTTACAGAGACTCTGCTGACGGCAGGCAGTCGCCCAAGCAGAAGAAAGACTGAGCCATAGCGTTAGTTGGCTCTGTGGCAGTTGGACTAATCGGTCTAGGTAGCCACACAAAGGCACGCTAAGACCAAGCCAGAGGACAAGAGTGACGACAGATGGTACAGGGAGAGATTCGTGCAGAGGAGGAACGCCAAAGTAGGATGGTGGCAATGCGCCAGCAAGGAGCCTGGGCCAATTGGAACCATGCATCCGCCCAGAAGATCACCTGGACAGAACTATAGAAGTATGAACCTGCAAGACTTAAGTTCCTGATCCAGTCGGTCTATGATGTCCTTATAAGTCCATCTCACCTTTATACCTGTGGCCTTGCAGGAGCACCAACATGCCCACTGTGCCCGGCTCATGGTTCCCTGGAGCACATCCTGAGCCGCTGCCCTAAAGCGCTGAGAGAGGGAAGGTACATGTGGCGCCATAACCAGGTGTTGAAGGCAGTAACAGACTAACCTGACAACAGCCAGATGCATGTCTTGCTCCGCCTAGCTCCACTCACATACATCTGGGAACCCGCCATAGGAATTGCCTTTACTGAAGGCTGGGCCTTATCAAAACTCCTTGCATATGATTGGATAAGCCACTTGTCTGTCATCTTTATTGACGTGCTATTTCAACCACTCACACCGAAGCTAACCCGTGACGCTGTGAGAGGAGGAGCCATTTGGTCGATCAAGCTCTTGCCAAATCCGGTCGGGAGAAGGCCGAAAACATCATTTCCACCAACAAAAGCCTTCAAAGCCGTTCTCTGATGTTCTTTTGATGAAACAATATCAGATAGATTGGACAACACAGAAGAAATAGCAGCATCAATGCTAACGCTTGCTTCCTCAATGCGAGCCGCCATTGTTGTTGGAATCTCACGGTCGCCTCTCCACTCCAGGACACACCCACCCTGCGTCCTGACTGGCCAGACCATAAATTCGGTTGGGGAAATCACTTTCAATGAGCGGGTTCCCAGATGTATGTGAGTGGAGCTAGGCGGAGCAAGACATGCATCTGGCTGTTGTCAGGTTAGTAACAGACACCATCTGCACTGGAATCCAGGAGTCACAGCACCAGTCTCCTTTGAGGCACAATGTCTTCTTTGTCAGGGAAGGGGAGAACCTGGGAGAGCAGGTAAGGGTACATCTGGACTGCTAGCCATGGCTCTGGATCGGCAGTTGCTTGTGGAACCCTGAATGCAGTTAAAGTTCCCAGAGCACATTGCAAGGACGTCACTGAGGCCAGATCTGGTCTTAACATCTGACTTGACAAAGTAGGCTTGTCGAGTCAGATTGATTGAGGCATGCAGAGGGCCCGCTGTGAGCCAATAGAAGTGGGCTGCAGAGGCTTCCTTAGTCAGACTGTGCATCAGGAATTCAGGCTCCTTTGCATCAGAGGGTTGCTTAAGAGAAGAGCCACCAGAAACATTAGTGGTGCCGCTGAAAGAGCCCCAAGCTGGCTGTGGATCAAGAGGGGAGACGCATGGAGTAGCGCGCTGCTGGAACACAAACTGAGGCCTGATCAGCCCCAGTTTAATCACCCAGGTGAGGGTGTCTGAAGATCAAAGACCTGAAACGCCCCATGACCCTGGGTCCTTCACTGATGAGTTTCAAAATCTAAAATCTCTCTTCTTGAATTTGTTGCCCCTTTTCTTTTGTTTTAATTGGCTTACGTTGTATTATGTTTTGGTTCTGTGAAACCATCTTTTCTAATAAATTATTTTACATTCCACTTATTTTCTCTGGACACATTTTTTTATGTTACCTCCCCAGAACCCCCAGACCTTGGGTACAAACAGACAGGAACCCCATGAGAGGTTTACCTCTGAGACAGGCGTCTGCCTGCCTGCTGTACGTCACCATCTGGGATGGAAGCGGACAGACGGGACAGATGGAGCAGCTCCTCCAGGTCTGGAGGAGGATTCTTCTTTAGGAACGCAGAAAGTCTCCGTCTCCATGCAGGGATCGTCTTCAAATGGTCATTCTGTTGCTGAGTGGAAAGAGGCTCTCCTTGAAGGCCTGAAAGGAGCTCTGGCAGGAAGCTGTCCCTGAGGACCAGACTGTACCACCTGTTGGTCTAAAGAAGCAGCAGCCATGTTATGGAGAGATGATCCATGACAGAAACTTCATGATTAAACAGATTTAAACCAGATGTAAACGATGCCCAGCTTGGCCTCCTCACAGGAAGAGAACCTGCCTTGTTGTAATAGTGGTGGTATTCAGAAACCGCCCTGAGGGTTTGAAGAATGAAGTTCACGTCCGAATGAAGGTTCTCCTTCAGCCTCTCCAGATCCGGAGCCCAGCTCTCCCTGCTCTGGAACTTTACGGGTAGAATCTCCTCCAACCTGTGGATCAGATCCTCGGCACAGCCAACCAGAGCCTGCAGGGTGAGAGGAGCAACAGCTGCTTAACTAGAGCTGCTCCATAAAGCAGCAGGAGGAAGGAGAAGCCTGTACCTCAGCAGGAGCGTAGTACGATTCTTCAAACTCAGACAGCAGCACTGCTGCTCGGCCAGAATCCTTTGCAACCTCCATTTTGTAAAGCTGAAGCTTTTCTTGGAGAGGTTCAATCTGCAGGATAATCTGCAAACACATTCACCATGGTTAGTGACATCGTGTCCATCAGGGAACCAGGTTCACACCAACTTCAGGAGAAAGATCCTCATTTCAAGTATTGCAGAAAACGATCCAACCTTTGATGGAGACGATGCTGGCAGAGCTGCACAGATCAGAGCATTAAAATAAAAACTACTGCTGAACAAACGGAGGTTACATTAAATATCTTCATTCACTAAATGGCCTGATATTAAAACAAAATTTATGGATTAAATAGTTATTCTTTAATCCTGCCTGCATTTTATCAAGGATTTAGATCAGAAAACAAGGAGGAACCAAGAAGATGGAGAAACCATCTACCAGAGGAGGACCAGCAGGACATTATTGGAGGATCCAGCCCCGGAGATCAATTCAGCCCAAACCTCCTGCAGAAGGTGATCAATTATTACTGATCAATGAGGTCCGATCTCTGCAGCCAATCATGTCAGATCAACTCTGAGCCACACAGACCTGCTGCTGGGCCAAGGTAGGAATTCATTCCCTGCACAAACCAGCCAGTAATAAGCACACCTCTCTGAAATTAATGCATTTACCTTTAATTTGGTTTGGTATTTGGTTCAAATAAGATAGTATCTGCTTAAAATAATAAAATGCAATTTTTTTTTTTTATTCAAAATATTAATCATCTTGTTCCATTGGTAAAGTGTCTCACTTACTTTCTAAATTAAAAGAACAAATGCAATTATTTTAAGAAAAGAAACTTATTTAGATTTGAGTTTTTCCTTTCTTCTACATTTGACCTTATTGCCTTCACACTTTATGGATAAAAAAATAAATCCCTTCAATTTAAAGCTGTAAGATTTATGAATAATCTTAAGCAGAATTTGATCGTTTTATTTTATTTAGGATCAGTTTCATATGATCAATGCTTTCCAGTACAACCTTGTTTATTTTTATTTTTATTCTGAAAGAGGATTGCCACTTTTTCTATGATAGGAGTTCCTGAGGATGGAAAACAGTTCAAGTATTTTATTAAAATGTTTTGATTCCAAACCCGACTGTTTTCTCGGAGATGGAAAGATTTTACTTTACATTTTCCCCCAAAGCGGATGCGCTGTCAGACCGTCTTCCTGTCAGACCCAAACATTTCCATCCTATAGCAGAGTGGTCCCTCTGAAACAGACCCGTGGTCCATCCAGAACAATCCTGCCCGGTTTGTTTATCTCCATTGGCTCAATGAGAGTTTCCCCTAATTTACACGGTTTTCTGTTTGATCAGAGGTGAAATGGCTTTCAGCTGTGAAAGGCAGCCTGGGTTCATCGTACCCAGGCTTCATCGTACCTCTTAGGCATCGCAGCTCTTAGGCTTTAGAACCATCACTACAGGAAACCAACTTCATCTGATGCTGGTTGCAGTTTTTAACATTGCTGGTGGTAATCATTTTTACACCTACAAACCATACAGGTGCATTTTGCACACTTTCGGAACCGCCCTCCTCCCTCAGCAGCTCTGTCAATCACAGGAGGAAACATTTTTAGCATCTTTTATTTTTCTGCTGTTGGTGCATTTTTTCCCCTCCGAAAATAAAGGAATGATTACTTTTCATGGCTTTAGGCTCTTTCACACCGGGCCGATTTATCCACGCTGGTAAACGCTGAACTTTCTATGTATTTTATTTCTTTTGGGCGTATACATACGCGGTATTAATCTAGCTGCTGTTTACCGCCTGCCAAAAATAAAGAATAAATACAAAGCAAGAAGGTTTTTCAGCAGATTGAGCATCATGTCTGCTAGGAAGTGTGTTGGTGGTGGGCGTGAACGTAGGGAGGATCCATCACCCTCACCTTCTGGCTCACCCTATGATGGGGATGAAGTCTGGAGGAGAACTGACGGTTTCCTCCTGTGAACCCCCTTTATACCAAAACGCTGCCAATACGCCATTATACAGTAGCTGGAAGTTAGAAACACGTTCAGCGCTCGTCTGGAACACGTCAGATACCTTGATATGCTTGGAGAGAAGTTCTGGATAAGTTACGCAGAGGTTTAGGATAAGCTAGACGCCATGACTGATGAGGAACTGACACTGAACGGATGACGACCATCAGATACCTGACCTGGAACTGATGGCCCACGGATGGCATATGCTGGCATTGTCGTAAGTCGACGTGTTTCAGCGTACTCATAATTTATCCAACGTATACCACGATTTTCCCAAGATTTTTCATACATCAGGCAGACGCTGGTCTAAATCATCAAGGTGAGACAGAAGCTTCAAATAGAAGATCTAAGCTGCTCCTCATCATCAAGCTGTTTGCTTTCAGCTTCTCTGAGGTGGAGAGCAGTATCCAGGGTGTAAAGCTGTTGCTGGAGGTCAACCTTCTCAAACTGAGTCAGAATCTAAAGACGCTGTAGGAACCAGATCTGCTGGGTCCTGCTTCATGCCAGTGACGTTACGCTACATATTGGCTGAACATTGCCACATGACAAAACATTGTGGTTGCCTAGACAACGATAACATCACGCAGCATCCTTGTCCGTCATATGGGGTGGGGCCCGGAGCAGATCTGGTACCTACACCGGCCGTACCTGAAACCCAAAGCCAGCGGATGGCAGTGAAAGCAGACCCACCTGCATTGCACGGTGGCGCAGCTGGAACACCTGAAGCTGCAGGTGGGCCTGTGAAAAGGCCTGTTTCCACAGCAGCTCCACTTTCTCCACCGCCGCAGTTATTCTAAAACCCAAACAGAAAAAGAAATCAGACTCCTGCATGATAGAAACACAAACCTGCAGGAATAGAACAGCAATGCTAGAGAGAGGGCTTCCTGCAGTACCTGCTGTGGTTCTGCAGCATGTCAAAGGCCGTCTGGGTGAAGAAGGGGGTGCCCGCCATGGCTTGGTAGCACGGCTCTCTGTCAGGATGGCGAAGCTTCTCACACACGTTCTCACAATGCTTTAAAAGCTCATCCAGACCCAGATCCCTGCAGAAACATCACAGTAGCTTTACTGCTGGATTTATCCATTCTTAGTCAGGAGGAAACATTTCTCATCATTTATTATAATAAAATAGAAACATTTATAATAAATGACAATTAAAATGACATAATGACTAAAAATCTGAAGTTTCTGGATTATCTGTGTATCAGCATCTCAGACATTTTCACCCATCAGCCAATGAAAACGAATCAAGTGTTAAAGTGTGAGCTTAATGAAGGTTTCCATTCATTTACATAAAGAAGGAAATCAGGATTAATTCACCAGCCTCCACAGATAAATTCAAATAAAATCAAACTACATTATTTATTCCCATAAGGCGATTCAGTTTTAGCCTACAGTCATAAAAAGAAAACAGGACAAGAGAAAAATCAAGCATTCAGAACCACACTCACTGGCATCGATACATCTGGTTACCAGGATAAAGAAGCAAATGCTAATTTCATGATCCACTGTAATACATGGAGCAGGGTTTACTACACCCTGCCATGTCTGCTTAGCACCGTCAGCAGAACACGCATACTGACTTAGACAAACTTTTGTCATTTTGTATACTACAAAAAAAAAATAAAATAAAATAAAAAAATATATACAAAAAGTATACAAAAGGAAATTTTGTTTTCTACCGTTTTATACCCGTTTCCATTTTGTAAAGTGCAGCAGTGATCAAATGTGAACAGTGTGGGTGAAAAGAAATGGTGCAAAAAAAACCAAAAAACCTTCAAAAATGCAAATATGAATGCTCTCTATGGTGCTTCTGTAGAAGGTCGTGAGGATGGGTGGGGGGAGGTGGGCTCTCCTCATCCTCCTACTGCTGATGGATTGTTCTTTCTCAATCTCTGCTTCTTTTTCTATCTCTGCTTCTGTCTCCTTGAACCCCACTGGGCCTCAGCAGATGGCCGCTCACACTTAGCCTGGTTCTGCTGGAGGTTTCTTCCTGTTCAAAGGGAGTTTTTCCTCTCCACTGTCGCTACAAGCATGCTTAGTGTGAGGGATTGCTGAAGAGTCAATGAGTCGATGCGATCAACTGGTTTTCCTTAGATAGAAAACTTTCAATCAATCTGACTGGATGATCTGGTGAACTGGAAAGTGCCTTGAGATGACATGATGTGAATTGGTGCTATAGAAATAAACTGAATTGGATTATTCTGGATTAGAATATCATCATCATGGAAACATTAATCTACCTTCCACCCTGTGCTTCATTAGTCCATTGCTTATTTTCTCCTCCTCTCCATTCTCACAGTTCGCTCTGCAGCTGTAGAGGATATTGTTTCAGTGCAGAAATGCAGCTTTAGGTGCAAAATGAGATGTTTTTATTCCCTCTCCATGCCGATTTAAACCTGAACACTTCCAGTGTTCCTCAGATGTTTATTATTCTCAGAAGGACCCGGCTTATTGTTTCCCCACCAACTTTTTCTATCAGTAAAGCGTTTGCCTGAAGCAGCAGTTAACGGATTAATCCGTAGAAATCATTGGACAGTCCATCAGCTCTGACCAGTAAACTGAAACATTTTTTCCTTCATTAAAAAATAAATACCCACATGAGGCTGAAAGAAACAACCCTCTACCCTCGTTTGGTGGACTTTTAGGTACGCATGAGTCCTGGGATGGAGCTGCCCACCCTCAGCTGAATAGAGATCTGCTTCAGTACAAAGCTTGATCAATTCAAACCCTGAAAGGTTTGTTACGTCCTTGTTTGTGGATTAAAGACGGCCAACTCCTATCCAGCAAAATAAAACAAACTCCTGAATGAAGTGACATGTTTGGTGACAGAACACAACTGCAATGATCACATTTAAGCTAAAGGTGATGTAAGCGCTTTGCTACGTGCTGCATATAATGGTCAGTTATTCAAAGTGACCAACACTACAAACATTTAAGGCAAAGGGGGTCATTTCTATGACCAATTAATATGGGTTTTTTTTTTTTTAAGTGTTTTTTTTTTTTTTTTACACTTTAAAAACTGGCCAGTTATTTCTGGCAGAACAATGTGGGAAATCAACTTGGAATCCTCCTGATCTGAAAAATTGTTGACAACAAACAGTCAACAATTCAGGTACGTCTGTTTGCTCAAGGAAACCTTTCACTGAATTAAGTAGAAGACGATTGGGGTCTGAGACGGTAAAGCAAGGCAACAAACCTGACCAGGTCACCCAGTTTACCAAAGGAGCAGAGGGAACCAGTAGAGCTGCACTGAGCCAGTTTTCTTCTCCAGTCCAATCAGATTCCTGCTACCAGATGCCGAAACTATAACAGCTTTATTACTCTGTCAGAATACAGAGCAACAAACTTCACCCTCTGCTTTTAAACCCATCTGATTGGGGAGCAGTGGGCTGCCATTGTGTAGTTTCCAGGGAGCAGTGTGGGGTAAAGGGTTCTTTGCTCATGGACCCAGAGTGGCAGGTTGTGGGGTTTGAACTCAGATCCTCTGGATTCCAAGCTCTATGCCCTGACCATTAGGCCTCCACCTCCCAAACCACTACTGTTGAATGAATTAAGATTTCCCCGGATGCCACCAGGCTTGACAACATTGTTAAAAACAAAAGAGAAATTTAAAACTCTTCTGCTTTGTGTGTAAAATGCAGCCTGGCCTGAATTACAAGGAGCGTGTTTACAGGCTGTAAAATTAGCAACACAGGTTTTAATCCGTAGTAACAACTCGTCATGTTTTTGTTATTTTCTCAGGGAACAAGCAGTTTGTGCCAACATGTCCGTCCATTTACACGGCAAAGGAAGGAGAGCCCATGAGCCAACAGCATCTGAACCAACCTTCTGAGCTGCAGGAACTTTGCTTCGTTTGTGCTGCAGAAGTGCTGCAGCTGGTCGAAGGTGGAGGGCAGGGGCAGCCGGGACAGAGCCTGCAGAGTGGCAATGCATGAAGGCAGACGCTCCACCACGCTAAGGAACTCTTTATCAAAGGCATCGATCTCCTGCAGGGATGAACACAAGAAAGAAGTCCCAATCACAACCACAGATTTACAGAAAGCATAAAAACATTTTCTTTTTACTTCAGAGACTGAAAACTAAACTGGTTTTCAGATTCAATCCTTAATATCTAGTTTAACCTGCTGAGGATAAAGAATAACTGGGGACCAGCTGAACGGGACTGAAAGCATAAACAAAGATGTGTCCTTTCATTTGCTAATGAGGTCAGCTGATTGTTCAGACTGAACGAGCGTCACCAAGGAAACGGACACTTCCTATGACATCCAAACAATGAAAGCTGTGCATCAGATGGATGCTGATCATCTGAGGTTTAATGACTAACCTGGTTTGTTCTGTCAAGGTCTTAAATGCATGTTCAACTCATTTACTAACCAAGTGAGGACCTATTAATTTAGAGTTTGAATTGCCCCTCCCCCACCAAACAATAACCACTACATGCTGGTGGAGATTCTCAGTCATCCAGGTCACAGTCATTCCCAAAAAGTTAAACAATCCACTGGACTTGGTTTGAAGACATTTCGCTTCCCATCCAGGAAGCTTTATGTTGGAGAAACCAAACAACCGCTACACAGACGCATGGCCCAACACAGAAAACCGCCCTCCTCGGGACAGGACTGTGCATCTACACCTTAAACAAAGACAAAGGACATTCTTTGGAGGACCAGAATGTTCACATTTTGCACAAATAAGACAGGTGGTTTAAGAGGGGCGTGAAGGAAGCCATCTATGTTAAGAAAGAAAACCAAACTTTAACGGAGGGGGGGGACTCAGATTTTAGCTTTCAAAAAAACAATGCAGCAATTGAGTTGATCCGTTCCCGTAATCATCGAAACCCCATCCCCCATAGAGGGGACCAAATCACCTCGCCTATTGGGCCAGGCCAACAATTCACTCTAACGACCCCCCTTTCAGAGACATAGACAGGTATGGGGCATTGCAGGCTAACAAAGAAGCCCAACGACCCCCATTCCAAAGGGGGGGACCAGTTTTAATTTGCATGTTTTCTAAACTAAAACAAGCCTTTGTTTGGCTACTGTATAAAACCTGGATCACAACTCTATTCCTGACAGTTTGAATTGAAAAACCTTACTGGATGGAAGAGAAACGTCTCCAAACTAGGAAACAAAGTCCAGTGGATTGTTTTTAACCATTTTGGAATAATGAATACAAAAAAAAACAAACCCTGCCCTGCTCCAGGTTGGCTCCTCACCTCCACAGCTGCTCAACAGTAACAAGTTCAATGACTCATTGAAAATTAAGCAAAACTGATGAGAAGGAAGGAAGGGTTAGTCTGCCTGATCTAGTGACTGAAAAACATCTTATTATCCAAATAAAGCCAACATGACCCAGGTTTGTTATTAAATTAGCTCCTAGAGTAGTTAGCTATGGGGCACCATTTGTAAAGGTTACAAAGGTCAAAGATTAGGTGGTAAGAAAAAAAAAACAAAAAAAAAACACTTAATTCATTAATTTATCAAACCAAAGTATTTAGATTTTCTGTTAAATCCATCGTCAAGCTAGGTATTTATTTTCCAAACTAAATATTAGGTGGTTCAATAATTATTTAGCTGCAAACTAAATGGTTTAGAGCTAAATATTTATTTAACAAACTCAACAATTAGTTTGGAAAATAAATTAGCCAATTATAATATAAATACTTGGATTGTTAGCTTGTTAGTTTATCTCTAAACCATTTAGTTTGAAGCCAAATATCCATTTTCCAAACTAAATATTTAGTTTGGAACTTTGATTTTATAAATTAATCATTTTTTGTGAGGCTCAAACAGGATTACTATATATTCATTTTTAATTGGCCTGAAGTCCCACCCCCCCAGAAGAGAGCGATAAACTGCTCTTTCTGTCCCCCTTTGTTTTTGTGAGGATCTCTATTTTATCTGTTTCCTGTCCTCCTGCGCTCCTGTTATGCTTCTAGTTAGAGTGGCTCAGTTTATCCTGAGCTATCTCTATGGTTATGCTGCTATAGGCTTAGACTGCTGGAGGACATAGGGACCCCTTTTTCATCATTCTGCTTCATTCTATCTCTATTCTCTCACTCTGCAGAATCTGTTAGTTCAATCTCTAACGTTCTGCTCCCTCTGCTTTTTCTCATAGTAGCTTCATCTGGTCTGTTCCTGTTTGGCTGTGACTCCATCCTGGAGAGAAATATCAGCTGTGCTGCTGCCATCAACACCTTTGTTTCTAGATGTTGGAGCTTGACCTGTTTTCCAGACTAGTCCTGTTTCTCTGACTGTGACTAACTGGATGTGCTCTCTTCATCCTCTGACATGGGAGCTGGCTCGGAGCTCGTCTGCCTGGCTGTGCGTTTCCTGCACAGGACTGAACTGAATAGAAAACCGAATCATCCCCATTGGCTCTCAGTGAGCGTTAAACGCCACCACCTCGTCCCACACCATTTTCTATTGGATCGGTCGAAAAATCTGATTCTAAATTTTCAGCGCTTAAATCTAGTTAGTTCTCCACAGAAGAGACTTTGTGCTATTGGCTGAATCAAGACAATATAAACAACATTACCTTAATAAAGCTAACCCAACTCTTGTGGCAGTATAGAAAATATCCGCCCAGAGAGGCAGGCAGCTGGCTCCGGTCAATGTAGTTCCATAGCTCTGGGATGTCTTTCAGAAGCACATTCTGACGAGGAGATCAATGTTAGCATCAGATAAAACCAAAGGTTCACCTTGCAGGGTCTCCTGTACTTACACTGGAAGAGGTTGAGCAGGACTTGGATGGAACCAGAAGTTTCATCAGCAGCTTTGCCACATCCTTCCTTTTGGGCTGAATGATGTAAACACTGTGGACTGTTCGCTTGTGCTCCTCAAAAACAAAGCAAGTTTAATAAATCAGCATCCATCATCAATGAAAAATAGAACAGAAATGAACTCCCTGGAGCCCTGGATCACCCCAAACAGCTGCTTAACAGGAATAAAGGAGCTTCCAAGGAGCACTAAAGCATTATGATTAAACACAAAGTAGAGGAAAAACCCTCACAGCATTCATCCAGGAGGATGAGACTGATGAAAGTCTAGACCAGTGGTTCTTAACCTGCGTTTGATCGAACCCTAGGTGTTCAATGTCAGGGGTTTGGCGGCTCCTCTGCGACGGAGGTGAAAACACTTGTGTAAAGTCCTTGATGACACGCCCGCTTTCCCCCGCCACTTAGAGGACATAACATTGCTTTGCCAATCAGTGCTGCGGGGAATTTAGCGCGCGCAATAGTCAACGGCTGGTGCAATTGTAACATTTAGTGGTTTATTTCTTAATATTTTAATCCATAATTAATATGCCGAGCAAAAAAAGAAAGTGGTTGGACGAATATGTGCAACATGGATTGCCCAACTAGACATTGCATATCATGCAATGTCTAGTTGGGCAACTCTAGTATCGCACCGGCAAAACTAAAGGACCACTTCTTGAAGCTCCATGGAGATGGAGAGAAACGAGCCAGATTCCATGAAAGACCCAATTAGTTTAAAAAATAAATACATTTGGGGGGGGGGGGGGGGGGGGGGGGGGGTGAAAATTTCTACTGGGCAAAAATATTTGATGTTAATGTACAACCCAGTAAAAAAAAAAAATAAATAAATAAATAAATAAATAATAATGTCTTAAATTTGGGAAAAAAATAAAATAAAATTCTTTATCACTAAAGAAGGGTTGAGTGAATGCATTTGGGTTCGGTACCTCAAAAAAAGGTAAAGAACCACTGATCTAGACAGATCTAATAAACCAAACAGTTCAGGATTCATCTCTTCTCCCCCATAAGAGCTGGAAAGCATCGCCTTTGGCTCACACTCTAGCGAGGGGAGGGACGACCCCCCCCACAGCACAACAGGAGAGAATTTCAATTTCGATTACTTCTGTTGCTGCTTGAGAGCAGAAAGTTGGGAGCTGGCTCAGAGCTCGTCTGCCTGGCTGTGTTTCCTGGACAGGGCTGCCTTTTAAAGCTGCTTCTTGTATTTCTGCTTCTGTCTCCTTGAACCCCAGTGGGCCTCACCAGATGGCCGCTCACACTGAGCCTGGTTCTGCTGGAGGTTTCTTCCTGTTAAAAGGGAGTTTTTCCTCTCCACTGTCGCTACAAGCATGCTTAGTGTGAGGGATTGCTGAAGAGTCAATGAGTCGATGCAATCAGCTGGTTTTCCTTAGAAAACTTTAAACCAATCTGACTGTTTGATCTGGTGAACTGTAAAGTGCCTTGAGATGACATGTGTTGTGAATTGGCGCTATAGAAATAAACTGAATAGAATTTTTTGTAGGTCTTAAGTTTAAATTTTTGTGTGGCTTCTACTGGTTTCTGGATCCACTGATGAGATTTTACAAAGAAGGTGAGATACTTTCAGTCAGAAGCTTCACATTTAATCAGAGTAATTCTACCAAGTCACTTTGATTAGATCAAACATGTGACCCCCCTCCCCAATAGGATGGATGCACTTCAGATTCACACAGACAAATCAGCAACAGGCCTTAGATATAACCCTGCTATGGCTTCATTTTGTTCTAGTCTCCATCTATTCATCTTCACATTAAATCCTTTGAATTAAACTAATTCTTTTTAAATAAACATCCTGATCAATAGAATGGTTGTATTCAAACATTCTTTTAAACATAACTGCTGGTTTGGGGGAAAAAAAGTTCAGATATAGAGGCTAAAATGCCTGAAGACAGCACATGATGAAATCATGTGAACAGAGCAGGTCCTAAAATCATTCCTCTGACTCCTGGTGAGACTGAAAACTCCAAATCATTCTCCCATCTGTATGCCAGCACCATTAACACCATCCAGCTAGTTCAGGGGCCTCTGGTGGAGCGACGGACTAAATCGTTTATCCAGGGACCTGAGGCTAGGTTAGCCTGCAGACATCAGCCTGTTATCCGCTATGCAATGGGGGCACAGGTCGCTGATCTAATGAAGCAGACAGAAAACAAACCAGCAAGGTTTAAGCCTGTGGGAAAGTGGGAGGAGTCTGGCTCCACCATCCCACCACAATGACACGCATTCATAAACTGCATGAGATTCCAATCTGCAGCACATCGTTACATAAAGTGGGGATGAAAATGTTTATAGCCCACCGCTGGCTGTCAGAGGCTACGATAAAATCACATGACGCATCATTGAACTGGGGTCAGAATAGAATGAAAAAATGTCCGCTTATTTTCAACAGGGATAAACCAGAACTTCCACAGAAGCACAATTAAAGTTTCAATCAAGCACAGTCTGCATAAAACACATGGAAGGTCCCCTTTAAAGAACATGCATGCTATCAGGAGCAGCTCTGCAGAATATTCTCAGAATGTGGATGTTGGACAGCATCTCTGCACCATATAATAAACCACATGCACTCTCAGCTATGTAAAGTCTGGCCATCATGCGAGCATTGGTTCAAATATTTTTTGCTAAATCAGATGTAAAAACTTTTGTGGGGTTTTTAATGAAAAGCATTTTAATTTCCCTTAAGCCACATGCAGGCAAACTGCATCAGCATACAGTCTCACTAGGGAGCTATCGGCAGCCATGCTTCCTCTGGCAATTACAGGTGCTGGTCATAAAATTAGAATATCATGAAAAAGTAGATTGATTTCAGTAATTCCATTTAAAAAGTGAAACTTGTATATTATATTCATACATTACATACAAACTCATATATTTCAGATGTTTATTTTGTTTAATTTTGATGATTACAAATGACAACAAATGAAAATCTCAAATTCATCATATCAGAAAATTAGAATATTGTGAAAAGGTTCAAAATTGATGGCCCCTGGTGCCACACTCTAATCAGCTAATTAACTCAAACCACCTGCAAAAGCCTTTAAATGGTCTTTCAGTCTAGTTCTATAGGCTACACAATCATGGGGAAGACTGCTGACTTGACAGTTGTCCAAAAGACGACCATCGACACCTTGCACAAGGAGGGCAAGACACAAAAGGTCATCGCTAAAGAGGCTGGCTGTTCACAGAGCTCAGTGTCCAAGCACATTAATAGAGAGGCGAAGGGAAGGAAAAGATGTGGTCGAAAAAAGTGTACAAGCAAGAGAGATAACCGCACCCTGGAGAGGATTGTGAAACAAAACCCATTCAAAAATGTGGGGGAGATTCACAAAGAGTGGACTGCAGCTGGAGTGAGTGCTTCAAGAACCACCACACACAGACGTATGAAAGACATGGGTTTCTGCTGTCGCATTCCTTGTGTCAAGCCACTCTTGAACCACAGACAGCGTCAGAAGCGTCTTGCCTGGGCTAAAGAGAAACAGGACTGGACTGCTGGTGAGTGGTCCAAAGTCATGTTCTCTGATGAAAGTAAATTTTGCATTTCCTTTGGAAATCAAGGTCCCAGATTCTGGAGGAAAAGAAGAGAGGCACTTCATCCACGTTGCTTGAAGTCCAGTGTAAAGTTTCCACAGTCAGTGATGGTTTGGGGTGCCATGTCATCTGCTGGTGTTGGTCCATTGTGTTTTCTGAGGTCCAGGGTCAACGCAGCCACATACCAGGAAGTTTTAGAGCACTTCATGCTTCCTGCAGCTGACCAACTTTTTGGAGATGCAGATTTCATTTTCCAACAGGACTTGGCACCTGCACACAGTGCCAAAGCTACCAGTACCTGGTTGAAGGACCATGGTATCCCTGTTCTTAATTGGCCAGCAAACTCTCCTGACCTTAACCCCATAGAAAATCTATGGGGTATTGTGAAGAAGAAGATGCAATACACCAGACCCAACAATTCAGAAGAGCTAAAAGCCACTATTAGAGCAACCTGGGCTATCATAACACCTGAGCAGTGCCACAGACTGATCGACTCCATGCCACGCCGCATTGCTGCAGTAATACAGGCCAAAGGAGGCCCAACTAAATACTGAGTGCTGTACATGCTCATACTTTTCATGTTCATACTTTTCAGTTGGCCAACATTTCTATAAAGCCTTTGTTTTTATTGGTCTTCAGTAATATTCTAATTTTCTGATATGATGAATTTGGGATTTTCATTTGTTGTCATTTGTAATCATCAAAATTAAACAAAATAAACATCTGAAATATATGAGTTTGTATGTAATGTATGAATATAATATACAAGTTTCACTTTTTAAATGGAATTACTGAAATCAATCTACTTTTTCATGATATTCTAATTTTATGACCAGCACCTGTACATGGAAGGATGTGCAGCCCTGCAAAGAAACGCCACCCTGCATCATTACTGACCCACCGCCAAACCGCTGCTCCGTCAGACCAGCATACCCACAGTCAATTCCTTTTATCCCTTTAGTTTTTAGGAAAAATAAACTAAACTCCGTCATTGGGTGTGTATCCCTTTAGCCATGGACAAAAAACAATAGCTTTTTGTCGTTTTTTGAAGAGTAAGGCGATCTTATGTGGATTTAACATTAGGCAACACTAGGCAGTCGGCTAGCGACCCAAGTTCCTGGGAGATCCCTTAAAACTCTGTTTACATGTATGGTTAACACAACTATTAATTATGTTTTTAATAAAAATCCTTTTGCTAAAATGCCATCAGAACACTGATTATATCAAGTGTGTCTCAGCCCCCCCTTTAGTGTCCACCATATTGGATCAGTCCATTTGCTGCACATGTTCAGAAAGGTCCAAACAGACAGCAGCAAACAATTTGAAAACAAACCATGCAAAGAGCAGTGTTGCCAACTTAGCGCTTTAGTCGCTATATTTAGCCACTTTTCAGACCCCTCTAGCACTTTGATTTCTAAAAAGCTCCTAGCGCCAAATCTAGCCACTTTTTTCTGCTACTGGAGACTTTGGAGACAACATCTAAAAGCAGCGAACTCTGCTCTCCAGAGCGAGTAGATTGGTAACCCCGCCTCCTGCTCTCCTCCATCTTGTCTGCTGTCATGATTCATGCAGCTATTATTTCATCCAAATGAAAAATGGAGAACAGAGAAGCAGATCATGGCTTGTCTACAGTGAAAAGAAGGACTGGGTTATTTACTTTGGCCTTTTTGGAAACACAGGAAGGAGCAATCAGCTAAGTGAGCTTAGTGCTTGGAAAAAATCTTTCATTCCTTTAGAGACAGCATGAAAAGTCAGCTGAGTACAAAACATAGAGAGGAAAACAAGAAGAAAAGGGACAAGAAGAGAGGGACACAACCTAGAACAGATAATGGATGTCTATTCTATTAACATTTCTCTCTGTAGAAAAGGTCTGTTTAATGTGTTTTTCACAATTTAGAGGGGCCCCTGCTTGTCTTTGCCTAGGTCCCCAGATTTCCTAAATCCGCCCCATGTTTTGCTACTTGCCAATCATTTCCACCTGCTGTCTGCTCCATTTGAACAACAGCAGGTGAAATTAATTGTCAGTCAGTGTTGCTTTCTAAGTGGACAGTTTGATGTGACTGAAGTTATACTGTGTTGTTTACATCTTCCCTTTATTTACTTTAATAGGGTCCAGACTGAAGCCAGGAAGTACCTGAAGGAGAAGCAGAGTGTCTGTGATGAGCCTGATGGTCCGAGGAGATGCCTGCCTCAGATCAGCCACCACTGACACCAAACTCTGCTTTTCCTGCTTCTTACTGCAGAGACAGAACTGTTATCACAGCTTTACTTTTCACACAGAAACCAGGCGGGTTATGAAAAACAAACATACTAGAGAAGGGAATGGAAATGGTTTATAAAATCCACCACTTCTTCTTTGCAGAGCTCCAGAAGCCTGTCCTGATCTTCCACTGGGAATATGACCAGAGGGCAGCCATGCTGATCAAACACACCTGGACAGAAACAAGCAGACATGAAGCATCCTTCCTGGAACCATCCCGTGATGGCTGCTAAAACACTGCAGAGAGGATCGTCAATCAGAGGGCATCATTACCGGGGAACCAGACAGCTCCAGATCCCAGCACATGGCCTGAGGGCAGGGGCCAAGAGGGGCCCCTCTCCTGCACCGGCTCCCGGACGCCTGCAAAGTTTAGTGGGAAGTTAGGAATGCTACTGGAAACCAGCCCGACCAGTTTATCCAGCAGCTCAGTTCTACAGGGAGCTGACAGACCGGCCCAGCGCATTCCACAGATCATCTGCAAACTGTCCGCTGAAAAAGTTGGAGGATGTGAAGCAGGTCACGGCCTGAAGGCACTAACACCTGCCTGCCAGCGGTACCTGCTTCCCGGCGGCTCATGCTGCTGCTGCGGTCCTCCGCCTGCTTCAGGAACCTGCTCTGTTTTTAGGGGCCGCTGCTGCTCAGCTGGAGCCGCTCTGTTCGCTTCTCTCCGCCATCTTCCACCCGAACGCCGCCGTCCAGCAGATCCCGCTGAGCTGCGAGATGCTGGGTCCGTTTATAAGCAGGGGGTGGAGCTAAACCCCAGAGGGGCGGGGCCAGGGGCAAAGCTGCCAATCACGCGCATGACGTCCTCTGATCCTGACTCCATTCACACTAGTGATGTTAATGAGGCGTTTGGAAGCCAAACTATTGACACTGTCTAACAGAATACTGACACCTGCTGGATATTTAAAGGCACTACAGGCAGCTGATTGGAATAAACTGAATGGATTTGATGACTAGAGCAATAATGTCATTGAAATTATTAGAGGTTATATTGTATTATTTTATATATATGTTTAAATTAAAAATATCTAATATTTTTAGATGTAGCCAATAAATAATGTAAACATATAACTTGAAAATTTAAGGGGAAATGTGAATGAGGATGCTTGTGGACTAGGATTATCAATTCAATTCAGTTTATTTCTATAGCGCCAATTTCCAACACATGTCATCCCAAGGCACTTTACAGTTCACCAGATCATCCAGTCACATTGATTCAACGTTTTCTATCCTAAAAAAAAAAAAACAGTTGATTGCATCGACTCATTGACTCTTCAGCAATCCCTCACACTAAGCATGCTTGTAGAGACAGTGGAGAGGAAAAACTCCCTTTGAACAGAAAGAAACCTCCAGCAGAACCAGGCTTGGTGTGAGCGGCCATCTGCTGAGGCCGACTGGGGTTCAAGGAGACAGAAGCAGACATAGAAAAAGAAGCATAGATACAAAAGGCAACTGTAAAAGTTGCTCTATCTGTATAATGGTCTGTTTTATGTGTTGTCTTGTCAATTCAGAGGGCCCCCTGTCTGTCTTTGCATGGGGCCCCAAATTTCCCAAATCCGCCCCTGCTTGTGCATAAACATAAAAGTCCAACAGAAATGTAAACGTTTGTGGGGTTTTATTTTGAAAAGACAACCGGAAGTGGTTCCATAGCAGCGGATGGTGAAGCTGGTGAGCAGATCCAGTGAAAACAAAGGAAGGGAGCAGATGTCCTGAAGACAGATGAACATGAATTACTACTTTAAAATGATACTATCATAAACCCAGGTAAATGTTTATCGTATAAAATGTAGAGGAAATGGTCTGTGATCGCTGGAGCAGGTCGCGCGCTGCTGTCCGGTAACAACGTAGGTGCTAAAGGGAGCAGTGGCTAAGTGAGGAGGCTGTCAGTCTACAGCCGTTAGAGCCACAGCAATGAGGGGCCGGCGGTAGGAAGAGCTCTGCTACTAAACTACCCAGCACTGCAAAGACATGATCCTTTCCCTCGGAAGGAACGGGGTGATTGGACTCGCTGTCGGAGCCGCAGCAGGCCTGGGATTGATCGCCCTCTTATTTTACAAAGAGCGTCGCAGGAGAAGAACCCAAAGGCTGGGATGGAGAGGCCAGCCTGCCGCTAAGCTGCTGGATCGGGTGGATGGAGCGGCGCTCCTCCAGGAGCCGCTGGATCCTCAGGGTAGGTTAGCCTCACACTGCCCCCTACTGGTCAGAGGATGACATGACCACAGGCATGTGCTTCTGTTGAGGCCTGGCGGCTACAACACATAGATATACAACTACAGCACATAGATATACAACTACAGCACATAGATACACAACTACAACACATACATATGCAACTACAACACATAGATCCACAGCCACAAGACATAGAAATACAACTACAACACACAGATATACAACTGCAACTACAACACACAGATATACAACTGCAACTACAACACACAGGTATACAACTGCAACTACAACACACAGATATACAACTGCAACTACAACACACAGATATACAACTGCAACTACAACACACAGGTATACAACTGCAACTACAACACACAGGTATACAACTGCAACTACAACACACAGGTATACAACTGCAACTACAACACAATACAGGATCCTCAGGGTAGGTTAGCCTCACACTGCCCCCTACTGCTAAGAGGATGACATGACCAAAGGCATGTGCTTCTGTTAAGGCCTGGCAGCTACAACACATAGATATACAACTACAACACATAGATATGCAACTACAACACATAGATATACAGCTACAACACATAGATATGCAACTACAACACATATAATATATAATTGTATATTATACAACTACAACACATAGCTGTACAACACATAGCTATTCAACTACAACACATAGATATACAACACATAGATCCACAACTACAACACATAGAAATACAACTAGAACACATAGATATACAACTCTATTCATTCAAATTCAGATCTGGGATCTAACATGTTAGGAGTGATTCATTTTTCTCATGTAATTTATAAATATTTAATTAACTGTTTTTATAAATTCAGGAGTTCTTCATGTTGTTGGCAGTAAAGCTGCTCGTTCATAGAGTAAATATATCAATTAATGAAGCTTTTTATGTGGACCTGGAAAGCAATATATTGATTTAAGTTTGTTAATTCATACTGTAGTTTTTTTTTTCTGAGGGGTTTGTCTCGCGTATTATTATTTGTTATTATTATTATTATTATTATTATTTAGACTTATTACATGCTACCTTCTTAAGGTCCCCCAGGTTTTGGACATCCTACTGTTTCTTTGTTGTAAGATCGCTCATATCTTTGTTAATCTTTTATATTGTTTAACGTATTCCAGCTTGTATATTTTATCTCCTGACAAACAAGCTTAGAAAACCACTACTTTGTTTTGTTTGTTTTTTTTTTAAGAAAAAGCATTCAGTGTTAAATTTCAGCTTTCCTCCAATCAACGGATTCTGAGGGAATAATTCCTGCATCTGCAACATGAAATTGTATTGTTTGCTTGAGGATTCAGAAAGGGAAGTGGGTCTGATATTGTCTAAAGAGGAGGAGTAACGTGAGTGTGTTTCTCCAGAGATGGAGGCCCAGCAGCAGGCCTTGGCAGCCGTGGAGGCGGTGGTTCAGGGACTCTCTCCAGAGCAGCAGCTGGAACTCAGGAACCAGCTTGACCAGGTGCTGAACTGCGTGGCGTCGCTGCGCTCAGAGGTGGCTGAGCTCAGGGGCGGGCTGCAGGACATCGCCCTACAAATCATTCAGGACGTGAAGTGAGTGGAACCAAGAAACAACTTTCTTTGTCAACAATTCTGGGAGGGTAAACGTTTTAAACCTGTTTGAGGTTTAAACAGACAATGATGTTTCCTGTTTGTGATAATCTACTGCATGTCCTGAACTGGCCTGTTTGGTTACTTTTATTTCTTTCACGTGTTTAGAAAGGGAGTGGAGGACAGTCAAAGGGTGCGTCGTCGGCGTCTTGTCAACAGGGGGCGCACTGAATCTACCAGCTCCAGTTCCATCTACTTTACTGCCAGCCAGGATGTGGCCAGCACCAACGAGGAGACCAGCGATGGAGGGTGGGTTCTCTCTGCAGCGCAGAACACTTTGCTTTGCTTCACCTAAATCTGTCCTGATTCAAACAGCTCAGAGGTCCAGTTTCAGTCCTAATCCTGTCTGTCCACCTGAGTCCAACCACAACACCAGAAGCTTCTTTGTGGGGCTGGGATTTGGTTGTTTGTAGCAGGAGCATTCCTGAAATCTTAAGCTGTTTCAGCTTAAACCTAACAGAAACAAACCAAACTGACATTTGTCAAAGATCCGATTTAAGGTTGAGGATATTTCCTGTGCGTCAGAAATCTGCATAAGAACATGGAAAGTTTCTCATGAATGTATAAAACCTGCAGCAGCTTCTTTCTTCTGTGCTCCACCATTGTTTCATCATTAATAAACTAGAATGTAAAGGAACCTGGATCCAGCTGTGACCCAGGGACATTCTCATCCATCCATCTCTACGCTCTGCTGCAGAGGATTTTGATCGCTCTTCATATTTAGCCCTGAGCAGCTTTACCTCCAGGGAATAGCACTGTTATCATCAGAGGGTAAACGTCTCTTTAAGCTCACATTCATCAAATGTTTCTTTCTCTGTTCATCCCGGCTAAACAGTTTAACTGAAAATACATTTTCCTCTTCTAAAGATTTACCTTGTATTGTTCTCTGTCATCTTTGTCCGTTTCCACAAAATGTCCCTTTTCCTAGAATGTCCTTCACCCACTTTTGTTGTTTTTTTAAACTCAGACATTCACACCAGGGTTCTGGTTTTTTGTTGCTATTAATATGTTAAAAACCTAAATAAAATAGTTTGTTTAATTTATTTTCACATCAAAACTATACACAGTGGGAAAAAATGAATACAATAATAATAATAAAAGACTAATAAAATACCAGGGGTGTATTTCATGAAGCAGGTTTACCATAAACTAAGTTTTGTAAACCTGAAAGCAGGGAAGCTCTGACTGAGGAACCCATGAGACGATGAACAGGTTCTATAGATTAGAACAAGTTTTTATTCTTCATCTTCACCAGAAGATTTCACCTAAATGGATAAATTGATCTACTACCGTTCAAGTAATAATCCTGTAATAATATCAGTGTCCCAACAGGCTATGGCAAGCCATTTTGATATGTACTTCTTTGTCTAAATGACCATTTCAAGTGAAATGTCATTCTCCACATCTAGAATAAACATTCTGGATGTCTATCAATTAATTTCAGATCTCCATATTCCTAATATTACTGGTCAGCATTTGTATTATTTTAACTATAAAAAACTGTATTTCAGATATCATAAATACATTTTCAGTCAAGCTGATGAATGTTAGAAAAGCCACTTAGAATGTGTAAACATTTCTAGATATATAAAACTTCATTTCTAGATTGAAAACTTTCCTTTTTAGAAATGCTTTCAATTGCTGATTTTTAGATTTTATAATAGGCTACGTATGCCTTCAAATGTATTGATTTTAATGATTGTCTTTTACTCTGTTTTAATGTTATGGTCTTTTGACCTTTGTTTTAATTTTCCCTTTTTGAACTGTAGCACTTTGAGATTTGAATTCAAATGTAAAGTGCGTTACACATAAAATTCATCATTATTATTCTTATTAGTATAATTTTGGTATAATTTAGGTCTAGGAGTGTGATTTTGATCAGGAAGAATCTTATTTTAGTGATCAACAAATGGAACAACAGAGAGGAGAGTGCTTTTAATAAATGTAGAAACGGCCTGCCATAGCTCATATAAACTACAGCATTAACTGGAGCAACAATCTTCTCATTCGCCATTTTTCTCTCCTTTGTAGCTGTAGTGCTGTTTCTCTGTACTTTAAACCCATTTAATTTCATTTCTTTTTAAATCTCTAGTTCCAGTGGAGTGAAATAGGCACTTCCTGTTGCCTGTTGTCATGGTGACACGTTGAATCGGTGCTCCCCTGATAATGGCTTTACATACTTGTTACGCACGTGCTAAACTGAGTGGTTCTACTTGGAGTTGATTAAACTGATTCCTAGCACCTGTTGTGAAACCGAACACTCAGAGTTCCTAACTTTAGGTCAGATCAGTTTAGATGAAACATTAAGTGTTTTTTCTGGGCTTCAGGTTCTCAACAGCCTGTGCCGAGTCCGAGTACACGGATGGTGACAGCGACAGAGACGAAGAGCAGGACTCTGATGAGGAGGAGAGAAGCTGTGCCACCGTCCTCACCCTGCGACAACAAGATTCCCAAGAGGAAGAGGAACGGGAGTCTGTGGAGGAAGAGGAGGGGGATGAAGGAAGGCTGTGGATGGAGAGCCAGGTTCCTCACGGAGAGCTGGCTCTGCTTCTGGCTCAGAGCGACATTCTTCACACTGGAGACGCCAAATTAAAAGCAGAGGGCTTCCAGCTGCTGCTGGAGAACAGAGCACAGGTGAGTTAACATCCTCAGACGCTGGGCAGGGGATTCTCCGGATTATAGGAGGGAATCTGAACCATAAATGTGACTAAGAGTCCTAAAGATCAACAGATCATTCATTTATTTTTCACATGAATTAAAGAAATACTTGGATCCATGATGATAACCAAGGTTTCCTTTATTTCTACTCTGCAGTACGGCGACAACAGAGAGTTTCTCTGGCGACTCGCTCGTGCTTACAAGGACATGTACGAGTCAGCTGAGGACAAGCAGGAGAAGTCCCGCTATGCACTAAAAGGTGGAGGCGCTCATCCTGACATTCTCATACAGCCTGAATCCGTCATCAGGTGAAATGGGAAGGAAGCAGAAGTCAAAGATTAGATTCTAGATTCTAACCCTTCCCCAGATCACCAGAGTTTAAGCAGGTAGCAGGTCTCTGCATGCTGGTGAGAAGGAGAAAGGATGCATCTCATGTAAAGGAGCTCCATCCTCCTGGAGTCTGACACCCATCGCTGCTCCAAACCCACAGTACAGAGCTGGGGTCGCTGCTTCTAAAGTAACGCAGATAAGAGATGAAGCTTCATGCAGACATCTTTATTCAGAACTTATTAAAGAATGGAGCAGCCAATCAGAGACCAGCAAATCTGCTCTGCAAAAAAAAGAAATCTAAATACGTTTTTTTCTTTTTTTAAATAAGTGTATTTTGCATTCTTGCAGCTTTAGATTGAAATGATTTTTTATTATCTATCAAGTGTGCAGGCAGTAAGGTAAAATGCAGAAGAAGAAAAACTTAAATCTAAATAAGTAAGTTCTTCTTAAAATAAGTGCTTTTTTAATTGAATTGAGGAGGTAAGTGAGACACTTTACATTTAAGACAATTTGCATTTAAAATAAGTAAACACAATTGCATTGTCTCATTTCAAGTGCATATTATCTAATTATCTTATTTTAAGAGTAGAAATACTCATTCCATTGGCAGGTCATCTTATTTACCTGCTGAAATCAAGGCTAAATCCACTTAATTTAAACTATTTCTAGATAATCTTTGCAGTGTTCCAGTGATCCTAGATGACGGCGGTGATGAGTCCATCATTCTGACGCTCCCATGTTGTTATCCTCCTCTGTGTGTCTGCAGGTCGGGAGGAAGCAGAGGCGGCCCTGAGGAACCACAGCCTGAATGCTGAGGGTCACAGATGGTACAGAAAGGACAGCAGATCTTCCCTTTTAGCACAGCTGTTTCTAATGGACGCCTGTCTTTGTGTCCTCAGGTTTGCATTGCTGACTAGACTCCGGTTAGAGAAGGAGAGCATGCACAGCAAGCTTAAGAGTGGTCACATACTGAAGGTAAGGCAGCCGGAGCGAGAGGAGTTCATGGTAGCACCCTGCTTTAGAAAGCCTGAGAGAACATTTATATGCTGGGAAAACCAAAAATAATACAGCACCTGTTTTTATCTCTACATTTAATGTTGATATTAGCTGGGTAGTTTAACACAATATATCTCTATATTGCAATTTGTGAGGATATCGTATCGTTACCCAGGTATCGTATCACAACACCCTCTCCAATACTCAGCCCTCGTTAAATGGAATATTTTAAATGTTGTCTGCTGTAAAACATTCTATTAACATAAAAAAGGACAGTATTTAGTTTATTTATCTCAGTAATACGAAGGAGTTGGTAATTTTTTATGTACCTGTGGTAAACGGACCCTTAAAGTGTAGTTTTTGACGATGCATGTGTCATTTTAGCTGAAACATTATTTTCTCTGTATAAATTCATCCAGGAGCATCTAGACCGAGCGTTGGCCCTCAGTCACAGCGACCCAGTGTGTTACTACCTACTGGGGAGATGGAGCTACGAGGTGAGACTCCTCACATGTAGATGGGAACATCCCATCAACCTGTGCAGGCTGACCTGTGTGTGTGTGTGTGTGTGTGTGTGTGCAGGTGGCTATACTGGACTGGTTGGAGAAGAAGGCGGCCGCTGCCCTCTACCGGAGCCCCCCCACAGCCACGGTGCAGGACGCCCTTCAGAACTTCCTGAAGGTGAGAAACTCTATCGCTGATATTTAGCTATAAAAGAAAAGACATTTATTTAGTGTCCTCATACCAGCGTGGGAAACAAAGGCATCGTTGTGAGGGACAAAATAAATTAGAGGAAATAATGGTTTTCTTTGCAGATGTGAAAAGTATTTATTTTAAAATATTCCAGAATTAGGGGAGAGCTGAATGAAAGACATGGTGCATTAGTGTTAGCCTAGCATAACGGGGCAGCAGGGGGAATATTTCATTGACACTTTTGCCTTCAGTCATATCAGGAGGTCCATTAGACAGGGAGCATTTTAGCAGGAGCTGGCTGGCTGTTCTCCAGCGTGCTGGGTTAACCCGGGCGTACGCTGTACGATTTTTTGCCTTTTTTGGGTCGATTCTTCAGTCGTGCGAGAATTGTCGGGTCGACTTTCAGCCTGATGGTGCATGGTGTAATGCTGGGGGTAACGAGGGGCGATCAGCCTCTAACGACCACCCCCCATCAGGAATCGGAAGGTCGGGAGAAAATCAAACATGTTTGAAATTCAGTCGGCCGTTGTAAGGTGGTCATGGGCAAATCTCTCACTGGGCAAACAGGGATTCTTCTTCTTCCTCTCAGATGTGAGCCCAGCAGCATGTCGGGGGTGCAATGAGTGAAATGGGGTTCTTTCTGTAAAATCGACAGACCGTAGTAGCCACGTTTGCTCAGCCATGTCTTTGTCCAAATACGTGGTCACCTTTTCTTTTTAGGGCTTTCAGCACAAAATTGCACAAATATCCAAGGCAGCGCGTTTCACTCTAGTGAGCTTCATATTCCTCTGCTACTGGTTTGGCTTCTGGATAGACAACTCTGAGTAGCGCCATCTAACCATGGAGCTTAGTCCCACCTGGTTTCCATCACAGGACTGGAAAAGATGGACAGAAGACATTTTACGCTGAACACCATTAATTGTTGCTTTAAACCGTTTCCTGTATCAGTAAATTGAATCCTTGCTTTAGCCTGATGGTGGTGCGGATGTGCAACAATTCCTAATATCAGAGTGGTTGGAGATTTAGGATCAGCCTTCATATAATCCAGGTTCACTCCAAAATCCCTGATAATCCCTTTCCCAGGAGACCTTAGATAGCAGATTTACTCCTCTTTAAAATCCATCCATCTTCTTCCTCTTATCCTGGGTCGGGTTGCGGGGGTAGCAGCTTCACTAGGGAGGCCCAGACCTCCCTCTCCACAGCCACTTTGGCCAGCTCCTCCAGGTGAATCCCAAGATGCTACCAGGCCAGCAGAGAAACAGCCAGACTTTAGTCGCCACTCTGGCTCTAAAGCTTTCTACTCCTCACCTTGGTGTGTTTTAAACCTGCAGGCAGAGGAGCTCAGTCCCGCTTTCTCCAGGATTAACAGACTCTACATCGCCAAGGTAACGAGAAACTGGCCGATCTCAGTAAACCTCTGCAAACGTGGATCACGTCGTAACGTAATGCTGTTTTCTGGCTCAGTGTCACAAGGAGCTGGGGAACATCTCTGAGGCCACGAACTGGACCAAGCTGGGCCTGAAGATGACCGCTACCAACGTAAGAACCATCCCCACACACTAACTGGACCTGCAGTTCTGTCTGCAGCTTCAAATACAAAACTAGGAAAATATTAGGAGGGTTTCCAAAATATCTCAGCCTTTTTAACTCTTTAGTAGACATCCCCATAGTGGGTCCTGGAGGGCCGCTGTCCTGCAGGTTTTAGAGGTTTCCTGCTCCAGAACAGCTGATTTCCATGAATAACTGATTAACAGACTGAACTGCAATCATCAGAATCAGCTGTGCTAAAGCAGAGAAACCATTAAAACCTGCAGGACAGACTGGTTTATAGAGCAAGTTAGCGTTTTTTGATCACTTGCATCCCTTTTACAAATGGAGCCCCCCCACCTCCTCTGTCCCTCAGTGAGGTCTAGAAGCACTAGATCTATATCCAGACATTCAGCAAAGCTCCATGGCTCTATATCTTATTTTGGCATTCGACCAATTAGATGAACCCTTGACCGATAAATTACCTACTGTAATATAAGTTGGAAAAAAAGTTAAGGTAAAAAGTTAAGTTACCGGTAATAAGACTAGTTACCAATTATACTTTGGTTCATAAACTAAAATATGTAAGTTCCAGTATCAGCATTAATGCCTCTAAGGTTATGGACCAAAAAAGTAGTTATTTCACTCCTAGTGTTTTTCATGAATTTCTTGCAGAAGCCATTCGGCCAATTTCTTATTACATTGACAATTCAATGTCAATATATCCATATTTTTTAATGTTCCAAAGGTAATAATGTGTTTCCTGGATTCCAATAACACTATTGGCTTGAAAAAGTATTTCACTGAGTGCCCTATGAACAGTTAGAGGTTAAATTAAACCATTAACCTGCCTTTAATTCTTCCTGTTTTTCCTCAGCTTCAGGATGAAGAGTTGGAACTGGAGGCTCAGCTCCGGCTTTTAACCGACAGACAGACGAACTGACAGACGGGGAAACGAGTCCTGATTCCAACGACCACATTCTGCTGTTTTATATTTTTGATGTGAGGTGGTGTTAACCTTGATGTGTTTATTTGGATTATAGTTATGTAACCATCAGAATATCGAGGACGTTTGTATTTTTAACTCCTGTCTGGGAAGCTAAGCTCACCTGAACGCTAGCTGTGGGTTCGAAGGAAACAGCAGAGGTGACAACTGAGCGTGCCGTTTCCAAACGTCCTTTCCTGCTGGTTTATGGCATTTTATTAGGACATTTGTTTTGTCTGGGAGCAAAAAGGGTCCTGTTATCAGTTTGTCAAACCAAAACATTAATGAAGTGAAGTTAATCTCATAAATTTAGATGACAACACAACTCAAACAATAGGTTTTAATCACAACTTAGTATTGAAGCTCATGTGGCAGAAGAGAGAAAACAGAACAGATAAAGAGGAAAACAGTTAAATAAAAGTTTACAGACGACATTCAGCAGAAATCTGACACTAAAATACCAACATTTGTTTTTCTGTCCACAATAAGAGTCTGGAAACACCCCCACCCACCCCCTATTGCAAAGTAAACCTCCAGTCCGATCCGGTTTAGTCCTTGGCGTCTCCTACGCCATCAGCGTTGATGGCAAACATGGCTTCAGCCTCCGGCAGACAGGGGGAGTCGTAGATTTTACAGATTCTGGTCTCTCCTCGGCCCTTCCTCAGGTACAGCCTGCAGAGTGAGGATGATGATGATGAAGTGAGCAGACAGGCGGAGCGCTGAAGGATCACACTCTGAGTCATCAGCTCACCTGGTGGTGGAAGCGTGGGCCAGAATGTTGCCACCAATTGGTTTCTTGGGATCTGCAGAGAACATGGCTGCCCCGTCGACCTGTGCCACCACTTGGTTGGTTATTACCACGGCAACGCCAAACTAGAGAGAGACAAGAAATGAGCTAAGAACAGGTAAGGTACGAGGGCGCCAAGGAAACTTCCTGCACAGACTGGAGCTGCTTTCCTCGCTCTGACCATGGGAGCTTGGGTTCTTCTCCCCACTGTGGGACAAAACGCCTCAGCAGAGCTGTGCTACGTACCTCGTCCGCCAACCGGAGCAGCATGCGCAGGAAGCGGCCCAAGTGTCCCTGCCTGGCTGACAGCTCCCCTCTGCCGGAGTAGTCTGTCCTGTACAGAGCCGTGGCGCTGTCCACTATTAGCAGGGCATACCTGTAGAATCGTCCCGCAGTTAGAGAACAGGAATGAAAAAGATCAAATCATCTGGTCTCCACCTGAGAAACCGCTCCTGAATTTAGGCTGATTTCCTTCAGTTAGTCTAAGACTGATTCACACCCTCCTCTGCTGCCCATCCGACCACATTCCACAAGTTTATTCCGTTTATTTCTGTAGTGATAATTCACAAAACACAATGCACTTTCCAGTTCACCAGATCATCCAGTCAGATGGATTGGAAGTTTTCTATCTAAGGAAAACCAGTTGATTGCATCGACTCATTGACTCTTCAGCAATCCCTCACACTAAGCATACTTGTAAAGGTAAATCCCTTTGTCCCACAAGGGGAAATACATCCTTGAGGAGCAGTGGGCTGCCACTGTGTGGCTCCCGGGGAGCAGTTTGAGGTTACGGGTTTTATGACATGCGGCTAAACGTGTCACTACTGGTCAGATCAGGGAGGGGACCAGAGCATATTACAGTCCATCATTGTTTTGGCAAACTACACTAATTATAGTGACCTCTAATCGGTGTAACTGGGTGTCATTAAATAACAACTTTACTGCATTTAACATTTGACTATGGTCCCTGGTGTCTCTAATGCCACGTATCTGACCATGGAGCAGCCGATCACCAGAGTGGGCTTCTCAGTGGGTGCCTCACTGAGCGAAAGCTGAGGGAAAATCTGTCAGAAACGTGGATGCTTATAATAAAGTGGACATTTATTTTTCTTCATCTGATTTACTGTGGAAATGTCTTTGCACTGAGACGTCTTTATGAATAAACAACATTTTAAAACAATGCTGATTTTGATCTGATATCTGTAGAACCATAAAGCATTAAAATGTTAAGATTTTAACATGTGTGCTTTAAAAGGAGAAACATCTGATTGATAAAAAGCCAAAGTAAACCAGGTATGTTCAGGTTTTACCTCCACCTGTTTCCAAAAGATGCAGCCCTAAAAAACCAGATCTTTTTAGTCTTAGCTAAAGGTGTAGTAGATCTTTTCTGATGCATTTTTAACCACGTGGCTTAAAGATCTCCCCACAGCCACTTGGCAAGAAGGGAAATAGAAGCTCTGGAAGAGAAACTAAAATAAACGGTCCCGCTAGTGTGAGAAATCGATGAATAACCACAACCAGTCACAAAAGACGGTCCGTTGAACACGATTGGTTTTGCTTTCTGCTTCATTTTTGATGCCTTTTGATGTACTACTTTAGTTCTGATGCTCGGCTGAAGCGTCTTTGATGCTCTAGCAAAGTGGGTCTGATGCACGTTGGGCGGAGCCACCCTATCCTTTCTTTGCCTGGAACAATGGCAGCTATATTTGCTGTGATCAGTGGGTAAAAAGTAGTTTGAATCTGTTTTGAAGTGTGAAAGTCCTCCTGAAAACATGGTCTGTGCAGTCAGTTCATCCAGATTACCATCCTGCCTTCAATTATTTCTGTCAGAGCCGCTAAGACCCCCGTACACTGGCGGTGCACTGTCACTAGAATCCCATCAACAGCAGCCTCTGGCCCGGTCGCCTCCTCGCGGTTTGCTGCAGTGGCTGGAAGGCGTTTTTATCATGTACGTAATCCAACTGCAGGCACCAGGATAATAAAAGCGAGCATGTTTTGCTGGCAGATCTCTGCAATTTAAGTTAAACTAAACTTAAGTTAATCACAGCGCTCTGCATCAGCAGTGCTGTGTCTCTCTCCCTGCCAGCTCCCAGATCAGCGACACGCTGCAGACTAGGGTTGTCACGATACTAAACTTTTCAACTCGATACCGATACTAAGGAAAATATTCGATACTCGATACCATTTTCGATACCACAAGGATAAAATTTCAACAGAAATATTTTGATTAATAATTAAAATACAACATTTTGAGGTTGTTTGCTGTGCACAGTATTTAGCAAGCTTGATAAAAAACTTACAAAATTAAAATTAAGTTTTCCTTATTTGGCTATGCTTTGACACATAACAATGACACTAGCCAAACCGGTTAAGAAACAAAAATAATTCTCAGCAGCTGCAACTGTTACAAAAAAATCTGAAACTGAAAAGTGCACAGAATTATTCAATTAAACAGTGTTCTGAAAGTGCATTTTCCTCTATTCTGCACTTTAGATGAATGACTGTTTAGGTGCGACTGGTACTCGATACTTTTGAAAATGAGTATTGTATCCGGATACAACATTTCAGTATCGATACTTTTTTGAGTATCGATACTTTTGACAACCCTACTGCAGACAGTTGCTCTAGACGCGCCGCAGACAGCTGCTCTAGACGCGCCGCAGACAGCTGCTCTAGACGCGCTGCTTCAGTTGCTCTAGACGCGCCGCAGACAGCTGCTCTAGACGCGCCGCAGACAGCTGCTCTAGACGCGCTGCTTCAGTTGCTCTAGACGCGCCGCAGACAGCTGCTCTAGACGCGCCGCAGACAGCTGCTCTAGACGCGCCGCAGACAGCTGCTCTAGACGCGCCGCAGACAGCTGCTCTAGACGCGCCGCAGACAGCTGCTCTAGACGCGCTGCAGACAGCTGCTCTAGACGCGCTGCTTCAGTTGCTCTAGACGCGCCGCAGACAGCTGCTCTAGACGCGCCGCAGACAGCTGCTGCAGACAGCTGCTGCAGACAGCTGCTCTAGACGCGCCGCAGACAGCTGCTCTAGACGCTCCGCAGACAGCTGCTCTAGACGCGCCGCAGACAGCTGCTCTAGACGCGCTGCTTCAGTTGCTCTAGACGCGCCGCAGACAGCTGCTCTAGACGCGCTGCTTCAGTTGCTCTAGACGCGCCGCAGACAGCTGCTCTAGACGCGCCGCAGACAGCTGCTGCAGACAGCTGCTGCAGACAGCTGCTCTAGACGCGCCGCAGACAGCTGCTGCAGACAGCTGCTCTAGACACGCCGCAGACAGCTGCTCTGGACGCCCGCAGACAGCATGCCCGTTCATGTGTGTTGAAGGTGTGGTTTCGAGGGGTGGTCTGAAGGGAGAGGCGTGGTTGTTTATGTTTAAAAATATAGCTTGCTGGAACCGTTTTTCCAGGATCTCCTACTGCACCTTTAAACTGTTGCCGTGTGTTTCTCTGAAATGTGATGAAAGCCAGGGACTGACCTGGACTCGGCCATCATGGCAGAGGCTTGGTAAAGCAGCTGGGTCTGATGGTCTGTATTGAAAGCACGAGCATACGCCACGTTGTCCAAGACGTCGCTGCCTATCAGCCCATACCTGACCAAAACACAAGAGGATCAGAAAAACATCCGCCTTTATGATTAAGGATGAGGAACAACAGCTGCAGACTCACCTCTCAGCTACAGCAAGCAGCCGCTCAGGTCTGAAGGTTCCCTCTGTGTCGATGTACATGGCTTTACCTTCTCCCCCTCCCTGGTCGATAGGCAGCTACAGACAGAGCAAACACTGCTTCTATAGGCACAACCTTTAAAGGAGCTTTTTATGCTCCACTGGGTTTTATTTGTGTATTTTTACATCAGAAAGGATTAGACAGAGGGGGGAGAGATCACCTCTGCACAGCTTCTCACACCGTGATGGAGGACCCTACCTGACAGGTGACGGCGAGCGTGTGGCACAGCTGCGTCTTCCCCGTCCGAAACTCCCCAAACATTTCTGTGATGGAGCCCGTCTCGATCCCGCCTGTGCAGGAACAAAGATGGCCGTGATCAAACACCTTCCTGTCTCCTCGCTGTGAGGGTCAGAAGATGGGGCGTACCCTGCAGTAACTTGTCCAGCTCCTTGGAGCCGGTGGAGATCTGGATAATTTCTGCTCTTCTCTGGTGAAACTCTGTGGCGGTGGTGAAGCCCATCGGCACCAGTTTGGCAGCTTCTGCCTGTCAGGGAAGGAATGAAGAGCATGGAAATGCTGACCTCTAGTGATGGCTCCATTAACCCCGATGCGTGGGTGCAT